AGCATTGCAAGCTCATCCGCGATGTTGCCGGACAGGGAATCACGCTGTTGAAGAATGATGGTGTTTTGCCGCTCAGAAAAGAGCAAGTCAAAGGCAAGAAAATTGGGCTTTTTGGTCTGGCCAAGGAAGCTCTTATCCATGGCGGCGGTAGTGCGTCTTTGAATGCTCACTACCGCATCACGCCAGAAGAAGGCCTCAAATCTGCATACGGCGACGACGTAGAATTCAAGTTCGCTAAGGGCGCATCAACATACCGTCTCATGCCCCCTCTATCAAAAGGCTGTAGAGACATGGAGGGAAATGATGGGTGGACCATGAAGCTTTTCGACAAAGACAACAAAAGTAAACCGATCAAAAGCGCCCACCATGTCAAAGAGGCTGCGTTCTCTCCTCTGCTGGAACATCAGGCCAAACACAGCGAGGTCTGTTTTGGCGCCACTTTTTACCCTGCAGAGTCTGGCTTGCATTATCTTGGATGCTCAGGTATCGGCCCAACGACTGTATACATCGGCGGGGAACTCGTTTTCGAGCAAAAGCACAACTCACCCGACGCAATGGGTTTTCTCTTCGGCGGCAACCCCGAGAAAGAGTTCCGCGTACCTTTAATCAAAGACCAATGCTACAAGATTGAGATAATTTCAAAACCACCAACCGGCAGCAATGACGACGCCGGTATCCTTGACGGCCTCCCAGGCTTCAGACTGGGCTTCATGTACGAATCAGAGCACGACAAAGACCTCGCCGCCGAAGCTCAGGACGTTGCAAAAGACTGCGACTACGCCATCGTCTTCACCGGCCACACTCCGGTCTGGGAAACCGAAGGCCAAGACCAAGCCAGCTTCCACCTACCACGCGAAGGCACACAAGACAAGCTCATCACCGCCGTATCCTCCGTCAACCCCAAAACCATTGTCGTAAACTCCACCGGCGTAGCCGTCGCCTTGCCCTGGCTCGACAACGTCGCCGCCCTCGTCCAAGCCTGGTTCCCCGGTCAAGAAGCCGGAAACGCCATCGCAGACATCCTGTCTGGCGCCGTGAACCCCTCAGGCCACCTCCCCATCTCCTGGCCCAAACGCATCGAGGACGCGCCTGCCCATGGCAATTTCCCCGGCGAGAGAGACGACAGCGGCCAGCTCACCGTCAAATACGCCGAAGGCGTTTTCGTGGGCTACAGACACTACGATCGTCTTGACAAAGGAAAGGTACATTTTCCCTTTGGATTCGGGCTTTCGTATACCACTTTTACCATTTCCAATGCCGCTGTTGCTAAGCTGGCTGAGGGTACCTTTAATGCTTCTGCTAGAGTCACGAATACGGGAAGCGTGGCTGGAGCCGTCGTGGTGCAGTTGTATGTTGGGAGGAAGGAAAAGTCGAGTGAGCATCCGGCCAAGACGCTTGCCGCGTTCCACAAGGTGGTTTTGCCGCCTGGAAGGGAGGCGGTGGTTTTGCTGCCATTTGCGAATAGGGATTTTGCTTACTTTGATGACGAGGCCAAGGAGTGGGTCGTCGAGAAGGACTTGTATGAATTTTCTTTTGCACAGAGTGCTGGGCATGTGGATGAGGTTATTGAGCTTGAGCTTGAAGGGGTGAGGGGGTTGAAGATTTGAAAAGTCTGTCGAATGGATGGATTTTTTTTTTGGCGGGGAACGGGTAGGAAGATATTCACATGATGCGATAATTGGGGGTTATTTTGGTAATTAGCGGTTATGAAGATAGAGAGAGAGAAATTATTATAGCTTCTCCAAACGGTGTTGTCCATAATGATCCTGCCCTCGTGACATTCAACCGCATGATGTTCTAGTCCTAGCATATGTGGGACTTTGCATGTAGAAACTCGGGGTCGTAGATGTATTGCTCTTGGGCAAGCACAGAGATTACATGTTTAACAACGACCTTGTGTGGATATCTCAAAAAAGAAAAGAAAAGTCACATATACCAAATACGCACCTGGAGTCTCACCCAAAATCTCTCGTTCCAGACAAGCACGCATGCATTAAGACTTGTCGCATTTTTTGGTTCCTGGAGAAACACCAGTGTTGTGCATCACGCTGCATATCCGCACACCCCCTCCCTACCAACCCACTTCAATCTCAGAAGAAATAAACCGAAATAACAAACACTCCAAAAAAGGCACCACCGTATCTTACACCTACCCATTCCACACTACTACATAGTGCCGTCGTACATCTGCATACCCTAGCACCTCACCCCCACCCCAGTGGTGAGCGTCGCCCGGAAACTCGTAAAAAAACAAAAAAAACCAAGTCAGCGTAGTCGATACCCGACCGAACCAACGTAGACGCTGCAAAGCGATCTATCCAGGGGCCAGATGCTTTTAATCCTTATCACTCGCCTTCTTTTACTTTTTTTTACGTGCTTTCCCCCCCATCTCACACGTCGCAATACCTTCTCCCACTCCAACGAGGCGGTCAAGCCCAGATAAGCGCATTCTGGCAATATCTTGGCTTTGTCTCCAACACATCTCTCTCTATGCTCTCTTTTTTTTTTGCCATCTTACCGCTCGAATCTCGCCGGAAAAAAACCGTGGCGAGAGATAAAGTACCGAAAGTGACCCCTCCCCGAGTTTTTTCGGCAGTCGATAGACCCAAAAGCAAAAACTCGGCCCCCGTCCGTGTCCCCGTGTCCACACCCACATACACACGCCATTTGTACATATAAGTGTATGTGATAAGGTTTTACGCGTATTTGTCAGCCAGACGGACGCAAAGAACTGAGGATGGACCGTGAGTCCATTCTGATGCTAAGAACGTGCGAACTTGTCGTGTTACAACGTTGAACCCAACAGAATAAGAGGATGATTGCTGCCCAAAAGCCCTAAAGTTTGGAACAGGCCACTACTGTGACATGGGTGGATAAGCTGGCATTTGGCGCTTTTTCCTTTTCTCCACTGTTCCGTGTAACGTTGCGGGTTGGAAAAGGAAAGAGGAAAATGGTTAGACGGGTCGAAAGCGCGGCTGAGGGAGAATGGGACACTTGGCAGACTGTGTATACTAGTGCTTGTGCCAGATATAGTGGCAAAAAGCAACAGTATACAGCCTTTATCTGCCTGTATGGTGTCAGTCAGTGCAAGAGCCCCTCCCACACTTCTGATGTTTGTTTTCAAAGGCTCCATTCATCCCACTCTTGCAGCCCCCAAGCTTGACGTTTTGTTTTTTCTCCACGTTGATCCTTTTGCACCTTGATCATCATCCCCCACAGCCCCACGCCGCTAGAAAAGTCGTAAAGTACAAAGAAGCGAAAGTCGTCGGCTTCTCCGCGTTGGAAAGCTTTCGGGCAAGTATTTCCGCAAGAGAGATGCGGTACCATTACTCGCTTTCTATGGTGTACATATGTACATATGTTGATGCAGAAACAGACAAGGTGCTGTGGAGTCCCTTTTGACTAGTATACCATTGTTCTCCTGAGATCATCCCACCATAAGCCCATGGGCGAGCACGACACATGTCTTGATATCCCTGCAAGACTAGTCGAAAGCGGTATGGCGCATACACCGCCACAACGGCACACGCAAACACACCGCAATCTTGGGCCAGCGTGCACAGTCCCTCATGGGCAAAACTTCAAAATTGCATGCTGACCCTTGATGCGTATGTATCGTGAATTTTGATTATGCATGTGCTTCGGTAGGGATCATGGGTGCGGGCATCGTAGGTTCTAGATGCGCATGTGTCAGGGCCCAGCGGCCAGGTCTAGAATGTTTTGTTCAACGTGTTATTTTCTGCCTGGACAAAAGGCTTCACCATCACAGCGTACAGCTGCCAGGAGCGGATAATCACGCCGTGGCGCTGCTTTGCCATGTGTGAATGTACGTATCCGTGTGGGTCCTATTGGGTGGCACGCAGACAAAAAGGTTTCGTCCGTAGCGCAAACGGGGGAAGACAGCGAGTGGATACGGAGCAGTACACTCTTGATCGGTTGGGCTCCATGTGCCATGAAGCGCCCGGCAAAGCCGACTTCTCGGGATTCCTACCGGAAGACGTATTTCACCGGGAGCGGGAATCAAAATGTGCCCGTGGACCTTATACGTAAAGGTAAACGTTGCTTCTTCCTCAGGAGGGCTTGTGACAATTCTTCGATGGCGTAGAGAAAAGGTGGGGCTGCATCATGGCAAACTGTATCTCCGGCAAACGGCAATGGCCGGATTTACCTTCCGTCTCTTCTGATTGCATGGACAGCCTTGCATGTGGGATGCATTTGTTGAATAAGATATTGAACAATCGGCGGGTCACGGTGAGCTGGCTCTGATGCTTCTCCTCATGGGAATTGCCTCTTCGGTGCGGTGGTATTGCTTCTGAATGAACACAGTAAACCGAACCAGGGTTTTTAGTAGTCGTCTCCGCTTTGTTCAAGGGTGCGAGACTGGATGCAGACGAGAGACAGGACTGTCAATCCCTCCATGTCTGTACAAGCAAACAGTGGGGGAGGGACGCCAAGGAAAATCGCATCAACGGATGGAAACCAAATGTATGGAACATGGAATGATGGGTAAGCAGAGGATTAGACGATTAGGTAGGCCATGACTTTAAACGCAGTTACAAGTCAGAGGAGAGGAGAACGGCGAAGAAACATATGTTACATTCAGGGCAAATGGGAAAGGAAGGCAGGAAGGAGCAGACGACGTAAGTACGTAACACAACTGACAAGGGTGCAATGCAATAAGGAAAAATGCTTCACCCACTTAATCCAAAAATTGTCAATCATCCGGCTTTGTAGTCTCATTTTGCCTCGTGACAAGCATTCCATCGTCAGGTCTTGGTCTTTATTAGTGCAACAGAAAAAACCCAAGCCACTGTCAATGTGATCTTGCTGCCCAGCAGCGCCACCAAGATCGAATGCTGACTTGCTTCTGTCAAAAAAACAACAACATAAAGTGACAACCTATGCGGCTCACTCACGTTGCTTCGCCCGAAAATCATACGCTTGATGCACTCCAAGCCCCAGGTATCGTGCGATGAGGCCGGTTCAAGCAGGATGACTGTCTAGATTGGTCGCATCTGAGGGAAAATGCCAGTGGGTCCAACGGGCATGACGGGTGCACCTGCAGTTGAGGGGCCTAAGCGGTGGAACATTTGCACCAGGCGCTCTCCAACACTAGGCTCGAGTTCGGTGCCATCCCTTGCAATCTTGACTTCGCGGTTGGCATTCCATGGGTTGCGAAGACCCCTTGCGCGGTAAAAAGGAAGGCGGTTTGTTGAAATCCACTCAATCTTGAATGGCTTGCCCCAGCCTTGCGCGACGGCTGCGGCATCTCCATCCACTGCTTGATGAGGTGCTTCCTCTTTTTCGGCTTTGCTGGATTCTTTCTCTTCCTCTCCTTCTTCTTTCTCTGCATCAGACAGCTCTGCCTCCCAAAAAATGGTGCCACGCGCAGAGTCGTCGATGATCCTTCCGGGCGGTGCCCACTCAGTTGCTGCAGTAGGAATCGATTTAGGCACATCTGACGCATCGATGATGGCCTCGGGCTTGGGTGCCGAACCTATCACGCGAGAGCCATCATCGAGAATTGGTGATGCCATGCGGGCGTAGCCAAAATATTCGCCCGACTTGTTCGCAGAAAAAATGAGGTACACATTTTGAGCAGACTGTCTTGCGTCAGTTACACGTAGTGAATTGTAACCAAGCACAACTCACCTGAAAGGCTTTGTTCAGGATATCCTCATTGTGAGACTGGGTAGCCCAAATTCCGTTCCGTACGCTGAGCTCCAGATCTTGTAGCGTGAGGCTCTTGACAATAAAGTATTTGTTCGCAACATCAGTAGAGGGTTTCTCGACGTCAATGCCTTTCTGAACAGGCGGCTCGACTGCACCCCCTGCGAGATCATCAGGGGTACTATCTTGGGCCGGCGTTTCTGGTCGAGAAGCATGCTTCTGCTGGTCTATCATAGCTGAAGGTGCCGTAGGAACACCTGACGCTGGGGCTGAACTGCGTCGAAGACGACAGACTAGTCGTACGCCATTGAAGCGTGAATCGTGGAATCGATGCATTGCAGCCGTACAAGACTCCTCTGTACGATAGTTGACAAAGGCACAGTTGCTCTTGGAAATCAAGAACAGGCTTTCAATGTCTTTTGTAGCATCGCGGGAGAAATGGTCCTTCAAAGCAACTACCGTAGTTCCAGGAGGAAGGTTTCCAACCCAAAGTGCGTGTCCAGACTGTTTGGGCTTTCGCGGCGGTCCACGGGGAATCGAACTTATAGGTCCCGAGCGAAGTATTCCTACACGAGCAATTAGCCTTCGTGTTCTTGGAAATGGCGGTACCACACAAACAGGTAGGAGAATCCTGCAGACCTACCGGAGGGCGATGCCAACTGGGTACCATAGGGAGACGTAAAGGTGGCTGGGTCACCTTGGAAGCTTGCTGTAGACATCCGAGGGCCTGGGAAGTTGCCATCAATATGCGAATGATCTGCGGTCTGTCCCTGCATACCAGCGTTTGAGAAACTTGCTCTTTTACCGTACATTGCTTGGCCTTGGGGAGCCTGTGCTGCGAATCCCGGACTGAAATGCCCCTGGGGGCCATATGGCATGGGATAATACATGTAGTGCGAGGCTTGTTGATAGTGTTGGTATGGCGCTTGCATCGGCGCCGCACCAGCTGAACGAGACTGGTTGGTGGTAAAAGAAGGGTAGGCGCTGTACTGAGAGCCATGCTGGGGCATGAAGGATTGTTGGTGCATGCCCATAGGAAAATTAGGTCCATATGGCGAGTGTGATGGCATGGTGCCTGGCATTTGCAAGTTGTGGCCAAGTTGATACGCCAGGGCCGATGTCGATGCGCCTGAAAGTGAGTGTGGTACTGTCGGAGCATTGAGTGAGGAATCATCGCCGGCGCTCAAGTCTGGCAACGTCCCAGTCATTGCGCCCATGTTAAGCGAAGATGTGTTGTGTTCTTGAGGTTGATAGTGTCCGGTCGGATGCGCGGCTGAGCGGAAGTCTTGTCGATGCTGACCTTGGGGGAGAGCGCTGAGCTGAGAGTAAAACGGAGAGCTTGTGTCGGGTTTTGTAAAAGGAGGATTTCCATCACGCACAAAGGCAGTCATAGGGTTATCCATGGCTTGAGGCCGCGGGCCAGGTGGTAAGTCGCCCATGTGCTGTTCGTAAACGACCGGAAGAGGCACCCACTGTTGGACCCAAACGAAAGCCATGTTAGTCCATGTTACACCTAGAAAAAAGAATTCTAGGAAAACGAATGTGCAAATGCCCGGTGCCGCACCAGTCCGTAAAGGTAGACCACGACATACCTAGTTCTACTATATCAATCAGCCTTGGTGAGATGTGGCAATCCGGGGACGCCAGATGCCGAGAGCAAGTCGCTTTCTGGGGGAAATGGTAATGGTGATGTGACAGCGAAACAAAGGAGGCTGTAAAGTGCTCGCGTGTAAAAAAAGAAGTCCAAAAGTAGGGGAAACCCTTTTGAGGGAAGATGAACGACTTCGGTTGATGTACCGGCTAGAGAAAGAGCTCGCTTAAGGCGGAACGAAGACGATGGTCAGAATTACACAACCACTCAAATGACAGAAACGATCTTGTAAGGCTCCGTGAGGTTTGACGGCGCAACGGCAGGGACCGCAATGAGGGCAAGCGTACATGCGGCAGATATTAGAAGCTAGGATCACAGGGAGGAGCTCACTGGCGGGTCTAATGAGAACGGGAAGCCCGCACGAGGGTTTTCGCGGGTTTTCTGCTTCAGTCGCCGCTGTCCGCAGTAACAGTCGGCCTTCTGATTGGCTCTGGAGGGTTCAAGTTGTGGCTGTCAGGATGGGAAGTGGAGCGGCATGGTCTGAACCGACACACTGGAGGCGAAACGATCACCGTAGCGAAATGAGAAAAGGTTGATTGGATGGCTGAGTCAATGAAAGGTAGAACGTAAGCGTGGAGAAAAGTGGTATTTCATCACATGTGGCGAGTGATGCCGTTTCTAGATTGCCATGGGCCGATGGCGCTGATCATGGACTATCTTACCAAAGCTTAGCGGGTCCCTTGTAGCATGCTTCGGCGGACAGAAAAAAGTTAGATTCGGCTTGTATAACGGAAGCCCGAGATCTACCAAGGGATGCTGGTGTATCCCTTGTAACGGTGCGTGTTTGTCTGCAATGGCGAAGAAAGTATTCGACCACCCAAGTCGCGCTAGCCCTTTGTTCCAAACCCCTTCAGTGCTACTGGGTCATAAGATTCATGCTTTAGTTCAAGATGGTGAAGTAATCCTACACCACCCAGGGCAATGGGTCCGAAATGCACGCAGCTATACTGGCCAATTGACAAGGCCATCGGGAGGGTGATCAGATGCAGGCTGCATGGACTGAGCCGCCCAGAGAAGTCCGGTCGCCTAGAGAGCAGGGAAGAGGCGTAGACGCCGCGTGGACGCGTTAGGGCACCACGATAATGACCAGGTATTGAGCCAGCTCAGGGCGCTGACAAGGGACCCGGCAAAAGCATCGTCAGGGCTGTCAAGCTGCACGCAAAACCCAAGCAGACTCGGCGGTGATACTTCCTTGGTAATGCTGCAGTAAGGCGTCGAGACCAGAGCGGAAGAAGGATGGAGCGTGCGGGTATACTGTACGCCCTGGAGCCCCGTGAAGGTTTAGCGCCACAGCGACTTGGATGGCGCGAACATGGGCGGCCAAATGTCAGCAAGCTGGCTTGAAGGCGACAGCAGAACGACATCTGACAAGGTCGACTGGGCTTGGTCAGCCCTCGGCGGTCCGCTGGGCTGGGTGGCCCGCAACCGTTTCCTCAAACATAAGAACGGGTTATGGGGCTGCCAATAACGGGGATGTGGGACTACTCGACTCCTACAGACGTCTTTGCCACGCTATCGGCGTGACCGCATCTCGACATGTTCAGAGATCTGCGCGCCACAGCACAGCCACCATGCTTGTGCCTGCGCGGTTATGATCATCACCCGGCGAGCAGCCTACCGACGCAGCACCTGTCCCGTCTGCAAGGGTGTTTATGGGTTTGTAGAGTATGACGCTGGTGGTGTAAGAATAGACTACTGCAGATCCTGTATTGTAGGCATGACGGCAGGGTCACGGCGAATTGGCCGCACCACTCCTCGCTCTACGCCAGCTTTGCCGTGTCGCTGCTGTCGCATGCAGCCCGTCATACGTGTGCAGGCGTGCATGCATACTTACTAGGGCTCGAAATGGCATGCGAACGCCTTCACAGCCTAGAAAGCACACCTGTCCTCTACGCTAATGTCGAACTTGTGACATGGAACACGCCCGGCTGGGACTCCACCCGGATATTTAAGGTGGCGTTATTTGCATCCGCATCAAGGGTCCAGCGATAAAGTTCCAGTCAAATCAGCTTGCAGTGGCCGATACCCACTCTGATACTGCCGTAGAGCCTCTTCGTGTTCACGGACGCGGCTAGATTCTTGCGGGGTCCTCGATACTCTAAATGAGCAGGGTTCGTCGCAACTTTTCACCTTGTGGAGATGGAGAGTTCCGGTAGGCCCGTGTAGCTTTTCCCGACCTAGCCGTTCGCAATCATTGCTCCGACCAGCATGGCCATAGTGAGGCAACTGGGGCTGTGGAGGATCTGCTTTCAATGTTCTGCTTCATTTTGCCCAAGCGGCTTCTGCCAGCAAGCGGACTAAAAATACATGCATGTATACGTATGTATGTATGTATGTACATAATATGTACATACATACATGGTCCCTGGCGATCTTTCATCATCCCCACACACCTACCTATCTCTTGCACTTGAACGGGCGCGCTTGGAGTCTTGCCACTGAACGGGAAACCAGGTATACATCCCTCGTCATACTTGACTGTTAGCATATGCTAGATACCCGCGGAGAATAGCTGATAGGGCACCAGAAATACAAATCACGGCTGCTAAGCTTCGTTCGTCGTTAGAATATTATGCATACCATCGCGATCTGGATATAGGGGCTGACTTTAGGGCGACATAGTCGGCTATGTGTATTCTACTATCTTGCCAATCGGTTTGCATACGTGCGACCGGCATCGGCACGTCGTTAACTGTGTGAGGCGATATGTTCAGCTCCAGGAGACAATCCAGTCTCGGATTCCGAGAAGCCTAGGTGCGCATGACTTTCGTTTACAGCCTGCTAAAAGCATTCATGCACATGCGAACGAAGAAATACGTACTTTCCAGGCGCAATGTGAAATCGCGGGTTTCTCCATGGAGGAACGTGAACCAATAGCAGCGGCGCAGTGACATGTCGAACATTTGCCGTGGGCCCTTTGACGACTAGCGCTCGTCCCTGTTATTGGACACTACCAAACAAGAGAGCGCAGAGCCTACCCGGCATACCTGCCCATCCCATCCGGCAATTCAATATTCCGACTGCATTCAAGTTCACCGTGCCACGAACTTATTCAAAAACTCCTCGATGTATTGAAAATAATGAGGCTCCGCAACAGTATCATTGTGGCTACCATTTGGCAGTTCTCTCCATATTTTCGGGGCTTTGCAAACGTCAAACAATCGCGTCATGTGCGAGGGTCTGTCCAAAAGAGTTAGTTATAGAGATTTCGTATGAGATAGACTGAAATCTAAAAAAACCAAGGAGCTGGTGGCTGCTTACGGAATGATTTCGTCCTTGAGACCACTAAGAAAAAGAATGGGTATCTTTGTAATCTTCGAAATCGTCTCTTCTGTGGGCCATATTTGATGGCATAGGGGTGCCAGGAAACGAGCAGGAGGAAAGGCGCTGCTTCTGGTCAGTGACGTCACCTAATAGATGGTACCCGACTCACGTTGGTATAAGTTTTCTCATGGAAGTAAAGGTATTTTCTAGGATGATGGCTGCAATGTCGCCTTCTCTTTGGTTCCTGGCAGCTAACCCCACAGCAACAGCGCCGCCAATACTCTGGCCGTAGATTACGATTTTGGTGTCGCGGAGCTCGTGTCGTTGGCGAATGTAGTCGAGTCCAGTCTGTGCATCGATCATGAGCCCCTTTTCATTGGGGTTGCCAGACGATAGGCCATAACCGCGATATTGTAACATCAGCACATTACATCGCAGCTCGTTCTCCAGTATCTTTGCGATGGGAAGACGGTAGCCTATATTGCCCGCGTTGCCGTGGAACATGAGGATGGTAACGTTGCGCGCATGTTGCCTGTTGGCTCGAATGAGAAAGGCGCTTAGCGACTCGCCATCCGGTGTAGGAATAAATAACTCTTCAGAGTCTGTGATGCCAAATTGCGAGGGTCTGGGTACATTTGTGCGAGCATCTGGGGGAAAGTTTCGCGGATATATGATCTCACTATTGTTGTTAGCCATGTCGACAAAATTGATTACAGCCATTGTGTACTTTTGCTTGAAGTAGAGGAGGCCGCTCAGCAGGGCAGCGATTCCAGATGATGCGATGAGCGGAACGCGCAGGTAGCCCATGAATGAATCGAGCGCGGAAGCCATGCTGCTGGGGCGGCCTCCAGTATCTGTGGGGCGTGTTGAGGATGCAATGGCAGGCGCCGAGCGGCTTCTTGAGAACAGGGGTTTTGACGGAGGCGGAGATGAAGTTGTAGGCGAGGAAGAGAAGGGAGGAGAAATAGGAGACTCAACCATCCGGAATGCTGGACATGCGAGTGTACAGGGCGTTCCAACGCGCAAGTACAGGAGTGAGTTGGAGTGTCGCATAGTGCGGCTGAAGGTTTCAGCCAGTTGCGCAGTGCCAAGACATGGAGCTGCGTAGCTCGGGCTGCCTGGTACACAGCGAGCTGCTCCGACAACAACCACACGCCTTGCCCGCCACTCACCCTTCTACACGCTCTGTATACGCCCAGTTCTTGTCCATTGACCCTCGGAAGTCTCTGCCACCCAGAATTGCGATGATGATGACCACCGGCGCGCTGTCAGAAGGTATAGACCCCGCCGCACATGCTCAAGCTACAACGGAAGCTCACTCTTGCGCAGACGGCATTCATGTCGACATGAACCACCTCAAGAAGGGTGAGGTCAAGTAGGTCATTGCCTTCCTTGATCATGCTCCCAGATTGCTAATTATGTGTGCAGCCTCGGAACATCCATGTATGTTGCTCTCCACTATCAATCGCGCCGTCTCTCACATGATGCAGCATGGCCATCAACTTCAAAGACGGTGTCATATTAGCCGCCGACAGCAGGACGACGACTGGAGCATACATCGCAAACCGAGTCACGGACAAACTCACACAAGTTCACGACACCATCTGGTGCTGCAGATCCGGCTCGGCAGCCGACACACAGGCGGTGGCCGACATTGTCCAATACCACCTGGGCATGTACGGCACCACCAACGACGAGCCCCCGACTACACAGACGGCAGCAGCGCTGTTCCAAGAACTTTGCTACTCCAACAAAGACCAACTCTCGTAAGTGCGGTGAAGGCTCACGAAGAACAGGTACTGACTGTGCCGCAGTGCCGGACTGATCATTGCCGGATGGGACCACCGCCACGGCGGCCAAGTCTATTCGATCCCCCTGGGAGGCTCCCTTCACAAGCAATCATATGCGATTGGCGGTTCAGGATCAACATACATCTACGGTTACTGCGACGCAAACTGGAGGGAGAACATGAGTGAGGAGGAAGGTATCAAGTTCGTCAAGGGCGCACTCGCAGAGGCAATCAAGTGGGACGGCAGCTCGGGAGGTGTCATCCGCATGGTTGTGCTCACGGGCAAGGGCGCACAGAGGCATTTGTACCTCCCCGACCAGAACTACGAGGGCCCAGGCAGGCAGTAAAGTCGGGTGTGTGTGAGAATGCTGGCTGATGCATAGACAAGCATGTATGATATGACACGACCCGACCCGACGATGATGTCGGAACGAGCTACATGAAACAAAAAGGACGCGGACAGCAAAATAAAGTGACTGTGAGATCAGCAGACGTGAAGTATGTAGCAATGTTTGGTTAGACAAGCAGACACGAGACTTTTGGGGATAAGTAGACGTGGGAGCGAGGCGCAGCAAGCAGGCCAATGAGGGCGCAGGATTGACCCATGGATTGCAGCGCTCCTAACTGCTCCGACTACTCAGAGGAAGACGTGTGGACGTGTGCGGCAGGATGCACGCCGAGCACGCGCGGGGCATGGCTGCGAAGTCGCAGATCAGAGCAGATCAGAGCAGACCGGGCGAGCTGTTGCTGGTGAGGTGTTTTCCTGCAGCCCCAGTGTGCGCGATAGGGCTCGTGGTGTCTGTGTGTATGGAGATGCACAGTGTCGTCACATGGGCTTCGGAAGGTGGTGAATTGCAGCCAGGGTCTCCCTCCTCCTGCGAGCCACTCGTTGGTCTGTGACGTCCCGTTCGTTCCCCACGCCTTTCTCGAACAACACTTCGTCGCCCAACACGCCAGGTCTGTATCCTGCGCTCCATCCTCTTCTGCCTCTGCCCCCCAACCCCGCGCGCGGCATCCAATTCCCCTCGAGTACGGCAGTCAGAGCAGGCTCGCATGCCCTATTCGCGCCCCCTGAAGCTGCGTCCAAGTTCGGGCTCTTTGCGATAAGGCTCAACAACATTGCACCACCGACACCGCCTTGCCAGCACCCTCTGTCTCCCGGCCCACCCGTTCTGCCATCACAAACACAGTCGCTGTGTCGCATCCCCTCGCATCTCCCCGCCCCCTCAAAGAGTGGTAATTTGGATCGCCCTGCGAACGCGGCATGGGATCGCTTCTGGTGAGCGATTTCGGTGGGAACCACTTTCACACCAACATGTTTGGCGGCGCCAGCTCGCATCAGCAGACACCGGAATCTTCTACCACCCAGCACACGCCCGTACGACCCTCACCTTCACCCAGCGCAAATGCGCCGCGTGTAGGGGCTCCGTCTGCTGATGTTCCCATGGCCGATTCGGGAGCCCCGCAGTCGAGCTCGACACCAAGCCAGCGATCACAGCAGCACAACAGCTCCCACCCAAGTGCCAGCACAGGCTCCGCATCGTCAGCAGCCCAGGCTCCGGCCAGTCCCTGCTTCCGTCCGCACTCACAGCAACCCACGCCCTCTGGCTCAAACCCCGCCTCGGGCGCCTTCACAAACACAAGAGCCATACCGTCAACAGGTCCAGCTCCCGTCCAGCCCTCGCCGGCCCAGTCTCTGCGCTCGCCTGCACCATCGCCCAACCGCATCAAGGTCAAGAGCCTCTCCCATATCCAAAGCTTTGCTCTAGACGACTCTAGTCCCTTCTCCCAGTCGCGGTCGCTGGCGCGGCGGAACCGACGAGACCCGGCAGATGTCGGCCCTCAGTACGAGATCAGTGAGATGCCCGTCTCCGACATTATCGAAATGGTGGCGGGCTTGTTGACCAAAATCACAACAACAAACGACCGCCAACACGACCACCTGCATCGTCAAATCCCACCTCCAGAAGGCACATCAGGGCTCAGCCAGCAAACCACCAGTGTTCTTGCCTTCCATGGAAAGAACGTGCCCAGTATCTCCATCCTCAGCTACCTTAGCAGAATCCACAAATACTGCCCCACCACTTACGAAGTCTTTCTAAGTTTGCTTGTCTACTTTGACAGAATGACCGAGAGGGTAAATGCCGGCCCAATGTCTGGTCTTCGTAAGGCTAACCAACAGTCTGTGGAACGTTCGAGATCTGCCCTATCAGCAACCCCAACCAGTACAGATGGTGTACAGTCTGAATCTGCTTCGGCTCAAGCCGCTACGCCTCCCCCTTCAGGATCTCTGGGCAAGGTAGCCGGTACTCCAGCTGAAGGTCCTCAGCCACTCTCTCCTCCCCAGCAAGATTTACACGCAGATACTGCGTTAAACCTCTCCCATTTTTTTGTGGTTGACAGTTTTAACATTCATCGTCTTGTCATTGCTGGTGTGACGTGTGCAAGCAAGTTCTTCTCTGACGTGTTCTACACAAACTCAAGATATGCAAAGGTATGTATATGTAAATGCATGTAATTGGATTTTTGGCTAACATGGCAAAGGTTGGTGGTCTGCCATTGGTTGAATTGAATCACCTGGAGCTGCAATTTCTGCTCTTGAACGACTTCCGCCTTGCTGTTCCCTTGGAGGAGATGGAGGCCTATGGAACTATGCTTGTGGAGTTTTATGCACGTGAAGTGGCCGAGCAACACGAGAAAGAGCAAAGTGCCAAACATCAATAGTGCAATCGATTTGAAGAAGACATACTTTATGGCCGAATCGACTATTAGAGAAGTAGATATCGTAGGGAGGAGGAGGGTGGGCATAACAGAAACCCCCCGCCAAATGAGTGGTCAGGACACTGCACGCCGCACTAGAGAAGCGCCAGACGACACCAGTCTTGTGCGTCAGACATGCAGTTGACCAACTGCGCGCATTGCGACAACTTTTCGACAACCAGGATCTTTGTATCCTGGTATAATTTGAGTGGAGACGGGTGGCCCCAAGTCTCAGTATTCGACTGACGTCTTTTTGAGCCGGTTTGCAGGCGGATGTATCTTGTTAGATGTGCTTAGATTTTGGGATACCAATTGTTTCTTCGTTCGAGAGAGAATATCATGAAATCATAGCAGATGTTTGTTTCCTCGAGATGTGCTGTCCTGGTTTCTCTGCTTCGATACCTGTTGACTTGATACCGGGGAAGTGCAATTGGAGGGAGCTGGTTGTTTTATATGATTAAATTATCAATGCTTTTTTGCATTGATCCGAAAAAAAAGCTTTGTTGCAGCGCGATGCTGGCAAACTTGCCCATTTCCCACTGTACGAGAAACCCCCCTGCTAGAAAGTGAGGCTGACCGCCGTTGTTGTTCCACGTCACGTCACCACTCAAAGAATGATGCAACAAATGAGGGGCACTTGTGTACACCGTGTCTACGCATGTGCATCAACATGCGCATACGCGACGTAAACAAGCCTCCCCCCCCCCTCTATCCTAGCTTTCTCCACTCCAACACCCTTCTGATCCCCGCTTGTCACGCAATTCTCAGTTCAGGGATTGAAGCAAGACCAGCCAGGGTGGTGAAGCCGGACACACAAAAAAAACTTCTCCTAAAAAGGAAGGAATAGGGAAGGGAAAAAAAGGGGGTCCATAACGCCGCCGACCCCCTAGTCTCTCTTCCGCCCCCTTGACCTTGGACCCCTAAACAAGCCGCCCGCTCCCGCCCAACTTCACTATACCAGATCTCTGCCTCCCCCCTCTCGTCGTGTCCGGACCGTCTTTCCGCCCCGTTTTGCCTTCAAACCTACTTTTATTCGTATTTAACACGCAATACTACATCTTGGTACAATCATTTTAATGTCCCCGACACGCGATTGTGCCTGGGTTTTTATATGTAATCCATCCGCATTTGCGCAAATCTCGACGTTGCTAGCTTCACATACTATGTAGTAATGTACTAACGGTTTGGTCGATAAGAGAGAGAGAGAGAGGCCAACGTTACACCGCCAACGTACCGTCAGAAAAAAAAACCCCGCAGCGCACGCAACTTGGCCACAGCGCAACCACGCCATTGAGGCATTCGCGGGGGAGAATTGGGATGTCTGGCCACCCCCCTCCACTTTTATTTTGTTTTATTTTTATTTTTTTTTGGGGGGGGGTGTTTAATACTACGCATACGCACTCCTATCCTGTGCAGTAAAGTAGCTGTTGTGCCTTTGTAAAGCTCTCGACCATCCGGGCGGAAGATCCCAGGCGGCTTCTGTTTCGGNGGGGGGGGTGAGTATATGCAAGTAAGTACCCGGGGTTGGGGATTGAGATTTGGTGGCTTTTGGATTTAAGATGAAAGGAGGGAGGTTGAGATGATAAATTGATAAGGAAAAGGTTACAGCGGGGTTAGGTAGGATTGTTTTGATTGTGGGGTTTTTGATATCAAGGTGCCTGTTATTGGGGGGAGTTTTCCTTGATTCAGGGGTAAATTTGATAGTTCTCGGTGTTCTGTGTTCCATGCATGTTTGGTGTTTTAGTGGAGACACCTTTCTCTTGGAGCGCGTCTTGTGCTAGTTCATCTGTCGGCGTTGGAAACCTTGTCCTTGTCCTTGTCATCTTCATCATTCCCGTCCTTCAGTCTTTCTTTCTTTCTCTCTTCCCTTCTTAGGTAGTTGGTTGGACTTTTTGCTTTTGACGTTCTTTGTCCTTTTTCTTTCTTTCGGTGAGAAATCAGGGTTGACGACGATAACGAGCAGAGGTGTCAACACCGTCTTCTGCTTTCTTCATCTTCTCTTCATTCGGTCCGTTTGGGGTAAGGAAATCGCTCGTTGTGTGTGTACTTGACGTGTTTTCGATTTCGAGATCTGATCTCTGTAAAGCGTTGAAGCGGCATTTTGAACTCTGGTGAAAATCTTTTGTTTTTGTGTTGCTCGCTTTCGTCTTGCTACCTTGTCTCCTACCCGCTGAGATATGCGTTCCCTAACCTCACCTTCACCGCCGTTGCAGCAATCGCAATTATCGTTTTCTTCAATCGCTCAATACGTATTCCTGGCCGGTTTAGCATACGTCCTTGCGGGAGCACCTTTATCGTCCTTCCTTAATTCCTCGTCATCTGGTTCAGAAAACAGCTACAATTTCAATAGCAGAGCAAGAGAAGGGAAGGTTGTGGATGTAAGAACATTGGAGAGCCTGGTCATCCCGGAAACCAATTTGTCATGTGCAGAACATCGTTACAAGGGAGTTTACGTGCTAAGCCGGGATCCTTTGGTTATATACATTGAAGGGTTCTTGGGCGAAGGAGAGGGAAAAGAGGTTGTTGATTTGAGGTAAGTGACCCAACATCATTTTCCCTTTGAATTTGAGGCAAGGCAGGACCGAACCTTTAAAACATGGCATTTGTGCACAGCAATGCGTCAGCGAGCATAAAATGTTGATGAACGAATGAGCCTTGCATACAATGCATATCCTACCAAACCACCAAAAACACCCACCGCACCCTTTCTCACAAAACCCCAAACTAACATCCGACCTCACTCAGCACCCCCCTCTTTAAACCCTCTACAGTCTGGACCTCCGGCCGCGAATCCCTAAACCCTACAATCCGGCTCTCCGAGAAAGCCCCCTTACCACGCTCCCAAACCGTAAAATGCATCGAAGACCGTGCTCGCACCTTTCAAGGCTGGCGCCAAAACACCTTTGTTGAGAAACTCTGGACGCAGCGCTACGGCGCGGGCGGCCACTACACGTACCACTACGACTGGAGCACTGCGACCAAGTACAGCGGGCGCGTAAGCAGTTTCATGGTGTACGTCGATGGGCAGTGTGAGGGTGGGGGCACGCACTTTCCGCGCCTTGAGAGACCGAGGGATAAGAGTTGGTGCCGGTTCATTGAGTGTGACGTCCAGGGTGCTTACGGGTCATTATCTGCGTCTACGACTGTTACCGGGGGAAACGACGATGTAGAGACTGAGACTTCTACGACGAAGATTCCGCAGGATAGAGTGCAGGAAGATCTTGAGAAGGGTGTGATTTTCAAGCCAATTCCGGGAAATGCAGTGTATTGGGAGAATATACGGTCTGATGGGTCGGGATTTGCGGAGAGTTGGCATGCGGGGCTGCCAGTTATCAAGGGTGAGAAGATTGGGCTAAATATTTGGAGTTGGATGGTGGATGGGTATGTACCGCCGTTGGATCAGGTGCAGCAGGAAAAGACGGAGCAGCAAGATGAGGTCAGGAAAGAATGAGAAATTTTGGAGGGGGCCACATGAGACTGCGATATACACGAAGACGTACCGATTGTTTAAAGCAGACGGATACGCCCCTGTCAAAATAAAAATATTACAAGACTGGGCTTGCAAGAGAACAGACCGAACCGCAATGATGAACGAAGGGAAATAAATCACTGCAATGGATACTCAAATCGAGTACAATAAACAAACAAAAGACAGTATTATTGTCCATCAACCATCTGAAACAATCTATGCACTACACAAAATTATGCTACAAGCCTGTAATCCATCCAACAATCCCCTGATTACTCCCATGACAACCGACTTAGCCCAGAACCCTTCCAGCAGTCGCAGCCGTACTTCTGTCTCTAGTCTCAACCTTCCTCAAGCCCTTACCCGCAGCAATCTCACCAAGCAGGGCACCGCGGTCAGGTGCACCAGCTGGGGGCCTCATGCTAGGCATGGGTGGTGGCGGAGGAGCACCACCCAGAGGCGGTGGTGGGCCAGGAGGTGGTGGCGGGGCACCGCTTGAGGGCATAGGTGGAGGAGGAGGAATACCTGCAGGAGATGATCCTACGGCCGGGCTCTCAGCGCGAGGGCTCTTGTTGTCCATCGAAGACAGAGGGCGTGGGGGCGCCATGGTGCCGAAAAGGATGGAGGCCAGCTGCTTGGCTCCACCTTGCGTGGGTGCTTCGTCATCGTCGGATGAGGAGTCGTCAGAGTCGACTACAGACCAGTCATCATCATCTTGTCGTCCTAGCCTGCGGGCTGAGGGTGCAGCTGGCTCGTTGAAGGTAGGAATAGTAGACTTGTTGGCATTCTCTTGAGTCAAGCGGTGGAAGGGGTTAGTAGACACTTCGCTTGTAGTGCTAGTCGGGCCAGGCGGAGTAGCGGCATTGTTGTTCTCCTGGTTGGACATGGCCATCTTCTTCAAGAATGGGTTCTTGGTCTCAGTGTCGCCCATGCCAGGATGCGGGCTGGTCACAGATGACGCAGGCGGGCTAGCAATAGACGATGGCGGGGTGTTGTGGGAAGCCTGTGGCATTGGTGGTGGCTGCGGAGGCTGAGATTCGCGCGGCAACTCCTGGCTTGCGGTAGGCGTGGTATCCTGAGGAGTGATGTTTTGTGGACCTTCGTCATCCGAGGACTGATCATCGTCAAGTGCCTCCAGCTGCAATTGCAGCTGGCGTTCGCGTTCACGAGCAGCCTCGATCTCGGCACGCTGTGCTGCCAATCGTGCTTCTTTCTCCTTGGCGTCTTTGGAAGCAGCTTCTCTACGTTTCTTCTCTTCAGCCTTCTTCAATTTGCCCTGCTGGACCTGTTGCTCAAGAGCACGGAGTCTGGCTTGAGCGGCTTCCCGTTCGCTGGCCAACTCGCTCTCTTGTCTGCGCTCCTCTTCCCTATTCTTTGTTAATAAAAGTCTCGAAACGTACGTCAGCGTATACATACTCCATGCGTCTTGTCTCTGCTTCTTGTGCCTCCTGCTGCTCACGGAGAGCCGACTCAGCATCTGATTGCTGTGTGTCATACTGGGGGGCATCGTTCTTGTTCTTGCGTGAGGCTGGCGGCGGCGGTGCTGGCTTCTTGCCACTGCTCTTGACTGGGACTGGTGGCGCGGCTGATTCATCATTGAGACGTCTTTGACGCTCTTCTTCACGGCGTGCATCTTCCTCTTCAGCTTGACGAAGTTTCTCTTCGCGTTCCCTCTTCTCACGTTCAGCACGCTGTTGAGGTGTTTCGCCAGCCTTGACCGGAGCCTTGATACCTAGGGCAGCCAAACGTTCAGCCATTCGCTGTTCAGCCTGTTGTTTGATAAAGGCGGCTCGTTCCTCTGGTGTCTTGTACGCAGCTCCAGTACGAGGGGCGGATGTCGCCGGACGAGGAATAGGATCATCATTAGCAGCAGGGCTCTCATAGCGTGATGTTGCTGGGCGAGTATCCGCTGAACGAGACCTGTAGTTATCCCTTGATGAGCTGTGATAAGTTAGCAGACATGATGTTAGAATCAACGTTGAGATACTCACTCTTCCTTACGGACACGTGCTGCCCGGCTGCTCCGCTGAAGATCGAAGATGAAGTCCTTGACCTCGTCTTCAACACCTAGAGCTTCCTCCCACCTGCGTCGTTCGTGCTCGCTGGTAGTGTCGTGTCCTCCTTCCTTGAGGCTTGACTCGAGTCCCCTAGTGTACTCATTGACGCTATCTTCAACATCGCGAATCATACGCTCGTTGTTCTCCCTCTCAGCTCTGATGCGTGAAGTCTCCTTCTCCAGGCGCTCTGCTGCGGCACCAGTATCATCGGTAACCGGCGCAGGCTTTCCAGTCAAGGCAGCGGAACGAGCTTGCATCATGGCCTTAGCACGAGCCTTCAATCGGTCGGATTCAGTCACTGCGCCGCCTGGACCAGTGCCCACAATTGCGGATGCAGATCCAGGGTGCGCTTTGGCATCCTTAAGTCTGAAAAGCTCCAGTTGGGCATCCGCAATCTCACGCTCTGTTCTACGCACATTGGACGCAAGTTCAGGCAAGCGATCAGTCAAGTTCTGAAGCTGACGCTTGAGCGCGCGGCGCTCGGCATCCGAGTCGGAAGATCTCAAAGATGCCTTTGGATGAGCGTCGATGTCTTCCTGAATCCTACGAATGCGGCGATAGAGATCATCAGCCTCTCGGCGGTCTCGGCGGTCGAGGGCGTCATCGTCGTCTGCAGCATTCTCATCTCGGGCATCCATTGCATCTAGGAGAATCTGCTTCTCCTTGACGGCCTTTCTAAGCTGATCAAGGGTCATTTCATCAGAACGATCTGAAGCAGGAGATCCCGGCTGAGCAGGAGAAGGTGAACGACCACCGCCACCAATACGATGCCTGGCACTTGATTTGTAACCCACGTTGTCATCATTGTTACGGAAAACAGTGGCGTCTTTGCGGCCGCCTGCTTGTGGGCTTCCAGCACGGAATGAGTGGGTCTTAAGATAGCTGACACCAGTGCGTTGGGGTTGAAGAAAAGCGCCAGAATTCTTCCTGTCTTCAGCATCCCCACGAAGCAAGTTCTTCATGGCACCAATAGAGTCATTGATGTTGCGTGTCGAAGGTGGAACCAATTCAGGAGGGAGACGAGCAGGAACAGGATAGCCATTGAGCTTGCGGTAGATCAAGTGCATAGCAACAGCAAACTGATCAAGATCAAGACGACCGCGATCAGCCGAGTCAGCAAGTGTCCAAATACGCTCCAAGTCAGACTTGGGCAGCCCACTCTGTCCGAAGATCTCAAGAGCCTGTGCTCCGCTAATGTAACCCTTGCCCATGCCGTCCCAAGCGCGGAACGTCTCGTCATACAGCTTCTTCTCGCCCTTTGTGATAGCCCAGGGAATCGTCGCGTTGCCAGTCAATCCGGCAGTTGTATGGTTACCACCTTCTCGGCCAGTTTGGGGCATCATCCTTTGAGCCAAGGCCTCGATGTTCGGCAGTCCGGTAGCAGGTGTATTTGCAAGACCCCATTGGCCAGGCATTCCGGTGGGTTGCGCATTAAGAGGAGCAATGCCAGTTGGGTTGGGTGCCAGGTTGGAGCCGAATCCTGTAGGCATAGGAGGCATAGGCGGACGTGGCCCATTGTAACCGCCTGGAGATTGTCCAAAGCCGGTAGGCTGCGGTTGCATACCAGTTGCCTGTTGTCCAAACCCTGTAGGTTGTGGCTGCATGCCCATGGGCTGCTGCCCAAATCCAGTCGGTTGCGACACCAATGTAGACAGCAATTGGCTGTTCGAAGCCTGTGGTTGCGGTTGCTGGATCGAAGGAGGCTCGTTGATTTTGGGGGCATTGTTCGACGGCGTAGCGCCTCTCGAGGGCGTATCTGCGACACCGAATGAGATGATGTCCACCATGCTTGATACCTCATTCTTGACGCGTTCAGGCAACGAGTTGGGGAGGTCTTTTCCCGTCAACTTCAGATTGCACAGGTACATGGCGAGCGCGAATTCGGGGAAGAGAAGCTGTCCTGACTTGGTGGTGTCTGAGAGCGTCCTGAACTTGTTAGGACGAAGCAGCTATGGAGCTATACAAACATACCAGATATGCGAGAGAGCATCTCCCGACAGCTTAGATCGCATCAGCAGGTCTCGCGCCTGGTCTCCTGAAAGAGCTTGCGCGTTTCCCACAGCTGACTTGAACAGCTGTTCAAACTTGGCCTGATCTTGCGCCGTAATGAACGAGAGTCGAATGTTTGGGATCTTGGCTCCCTTGGCAGGCACAGGTGGTGGCACAGAGGAAGCACCGCTTCCTCGAAACGAATCAGCCATCTGCGCCGACGTCATGCCCGTAGGTTGGGGACGTTGGGGTTGAGCAGGGGGCTGCTGCTGCTGTGGGGGCGCGCCAGTTTGAAAGGGCACCTGCTGAGGTGTCTGTTGCTGCTGGAATTGCTGGGCCTGTTGACCAGGGAAACCGGTATACTGTGGCTGCAATTGCGGCTGCTGTCCAAAGCCCTGCGGCTGACCCGGGAAGCCTGTAAACTGTGGTTGCATTGGGCTGCCTCCAAAGCCGGTAGGTTGAGGCATCAGCCCGCCCTGGAAGCTTCCGGGTTGCTGGAACTGCTGCTGCTGTTGCTGTTGCTGCTGCTGGCCATACTGAGGCTGCCCGGGTCGGGCACTGTTGCCGCCCCCTAAGTACGAGTTGGACCCAGAGAACATGGTGGGCGACTTATTTCGCGGGTGGAATTAAAGGAACGTTGATGCGCGCATGCGGGGAAGAAATGGGAATACACAAAGGAGTGCGCGAATGCGGGAATAGTGGAAGGTGTAGTGAGGTTGGGTTACGAGTCTGGCTGTGCCGGGTTACCACAAGGTGCACGGGTAGGTTCGCGCTAGTGAGACGCTCCGTCGTCATCCTCAAGCACTGTCGCATTGAGCCTTCTAGCCGAACACCACCCATATCAGCCAACACCATGTCGAGCGCACAAAATGGAGATACTGGGTCGCATGCCGAAGCCGATCTTGCCCAGGTAAGGTCTGTGGTAAATACTTGTCGACAGGCCCTAATATTCGTCCAAGGCGTTCAAGGAACTGCAGCGAGGGGAGCAGACGGCAGCCGCCCTAGAGGCCCACCTCGATTCCATAGAGAAGAAGATTGAAGCTCTCCTTGCGCAGGCAGAAAAAGCAGAGAAGGAGTTGAAGGACGGCAAGGCGGACGACAAGCAGTCGCCGAAAGCAGATGAGAAGACCTCATGAAGTCGGCGAAACCTACTGCACAATAATGGCTCACGTGCTACGTACTATTAATATCCGATCCGATGATACACGCGCGAATACCACAATGATTTAACAGTAACCAAGACAAGCTGCGGATTCGGCGAGAACGGTGCACACAAAACAGAAGGCAGGCAATGATAGATTCTGAGAGCATCGCTCTTGTATAGGAAAGACGGAAGCCTCCGGTCTTACAGCCCACCAATAGTTGAAGGCTTGGCTGCTGAACTCTCAGCTTCGAAAACCTTGTCCAAATGGAATACCCCATTGCTGTCCTTCTCGACCACACCAACCTCAGTGATGATTCCATCAATCAATTCTGCAGGAGTGACGTCGAAGGCCGGGTTCCATACCTCAATACCGTTGGCTGCAATACTGATCGTCTCCACGACGCCCAGATCGAGCGAGACACCATCGTGCCTTGGTCCCTTTACAAGTGTTACCTCTTTTCCGGGCCGCTCTTCAATGACGATGTCTGCTCCGGACTTGGTCTTCAAGTCGATTGTCGTTCGTGGTGCGGCTACAAGAAACTTTACCCCATGATGCCGAGCAAGGATGGCGAGTGAGTATGTGCCAATTTTATTGGCTGTGTCGCCATTTGCGGCTACTCGGTCTGCGCCAACCACTATGCCGGCAATGTTCTCGCTCTTGCCCCGCAACCGAAGCAGGGCCGCCGCCATAGAGTCTGTGATGAGAGTGGCTGGTATCTTGTCGTGAACCAGCTCGAATGCTGTCAGTCTAGAGCCTTGGTTGTATGGGCGAGTCTCTGAGCAAAAAGCATGCTTCAGTGAGCCGTTGGCGTGCAGTGACCGAATCACACCAAGCGCCGTACCATACCCGGCAGTAGCAAGGGATCTGTAACGTTAGTCTCTTGTACTGACCAAGGGGATCTGGTACACACCCAGTGTTGCAGTGCGTCATCATGCTTACCGGGCCTGTCTTTCCAGCCTCGGTATTCTTCACGATCCAGTCTGCGCCGTGCTTTCCGATGCTCTCATTGTCGCTCACATCGTCGACGAGCATCTGCTCTGCAGCAGCCACGTACGCCTCCCGCACAGCCTCTCCGTTTGCCCCTTCCTTTGCCGCGGCATTTTCTGTGATCTTTTGCAACTTGCCAGCAGCATCTGCAAGGTTGACAGCCGTCGGCCGGCTTGTAACCAGATAGTCCAACTTTTCAATGATGAAGACCTTGACTTCTTCGGCAGCCGAAGGGAGCTTCATGTTGGTCACTTCGACTGCGAGGGCCAGTGCAGCAACAATGGCGATGGCTGGTGCACCCCGCGTGCGCATGTCCTTGATGGCGTGCCATGCGTCAGTGCTAGAGTAGATGTGATCATACTCTTCGGCATGCGGTAGTTTCAGCTGATCGAGGATTTCGAGCTGACCTCGAGAGTACTTGATTGCCTGGAGCACCATCTTGAATTGCTTGTGTTTGGGCGTGTTGTTCCAGCGATGCAGCAAAAAAATTTCCAGATGGTATGTGAGATTGGGTTGCAATTGCCCCAACGTGAGAGACCCAGGCGCTAGCCCATTGGTGCCACAGGCTCCTTTCAACTGAGGAGTTAGTGGTCACGTTTTTCAAGGGCAAGACCTGAGATACTCTATTTCAACAAGACGCCCATATATGCTTCTATATTGGTGAACGGGAGCCGTTGACGCATTCCATCCCCGCAGCTCGCCACTCTGTTGAGGGCACTTCGGATGGCGGCATGTGACGCGGCAAGACTAGCCACGTGTGGCTGTAGCCGAGGCTGGGCTCAGCCACAACGGTGCTCCATCGGCGATATTGGCCGCAACTTGATTGTTAACCCAATGCAGAGAATGAGGAGAAGGAGAGAGACACAGTCGAGCAGCATCTGCCCAAAGCTTTCAGCGATGATGACCATGATTTACGTGGCTCGGAACGCGACATGTCTTAGATTCCTGGTGTTCTGGCCATTCATCAGGAGGCGATTCGCTTCCAGCCCTAAAAGAGCCGCAAAGCAAATCCAGGGACCGACGCTTGCAAGGAAGAGTGAATTGGTCATGGCAACTGCATGACGAAGCTGATACCTCGACTTGACAGCCAAGTCGCACGGTGCCCCAAAAGCTGCCGCCATGTCCCTTTCTCCTGTTTCCGCACACTTTCTACATATTCCAACCTCTTGCTCAACCCGAAGCCGTTTGTCGCAAACGTGCTGTTGCCGTCCAATCCTTGACCTATTCGGTAACCACGCCCGTCTTTGCCTATCCCCGATAGGCGGAGAAAAAAGACCCACAGCCTCACTAATACCCGCTACCCCCAACACCACAAGAAGAGCCCGTCGCCCACCCAGAAGCATTTCCTGAGCACATGCAAACGCTAGCCAATCGCCTCAGCTGGTCGCGCCTCACAAGACTCTCGTAGTCTGTTCCCGTACCGGAGAAGATACCGCCACGCGCTCGACTGGACCCCACCCAACTGTGCGCCGAACTTGTATATCAAATGCCCCTCATGGCACCCTCAAACTCGAGTTTTGGTGTCAGCTCCGCCGTCATGACTTCCCAAGAAGAGCCCATCCAGCCTTCGTACCGAGGTTACGGTACTTTCGCTTCGCAGCGACCGGCGCAACACCAGAGACGTCATTCATGGCACACGCGCCCTTGCATGCAGGAGGCTGAGAACTTCCAGGTTCTGGTATGTACAACATAAGCCACATGCTGAACCACTGTCTTCTAGAAGCGCTAACCTCCGCTCCCAGCTTCGAAACTTCCTCACTGAACTTAACTGCCGACTCGATCTTCTCGAAGACTACGGCCACCTCAAGTATGACACTGGTGTAGAATATGCTTACAACACGCTCCTTGCTGTTCGCGAGTCATGCTCCAAGATCTCAGATGGCGCAATTGAAGCAGGCCGGCGACAGGCTTCGGTTTTCGTCGAGACCCTGGAAGAACGGTACAAGGATGCTTTGGAGTGCAAGGAGACGTTAGGAGAAAAGGTTTTGGAGGGAATAGTACTTATGGACAACTACCTGACCGAATTCGAGGCACGCGCATTTGCGCTAGGAGATGCATCCATTGGCACGTATGCGCACGAATTTTATGAGGAAGGCCGGCGGAAGATGGACGAAGGAATCGAAATCGCAAAGGGAGTTGTCGATGGAGGTCTCGACAAAGCGCGGCGAGCGCGCGAGAACATTGAACTTCGAGTAGAGCACGCCGTCCAACGAGCGCTTGCCCAAGCCAAAGCCCACGGCCTGATTCAATACGAAGACCTACCTGAGCCATGGCGAGTCAACCCCCACATCCTCAAGGGTTACCGCTTCCAAGAAGGAAAATGGGCATGCGTCCGATCCATTTTCCGACTCCACAACGAACTCATCAACATCTGGACACACCTCCTTGGTTTCGTCATGGTCCTCGCCATCGCCTTCTACTTTTATCCCTCAAGCGCCAACTTCAGTATGTCGACAAAAGCCGACATCTTCATAGCCGCAGTCTTCTTCTTCGCAGCATGCAAGTGCCTAGCTTGCTCTACCATCTGGCACACGATGAACAGCATCTCGCACCAAACGCTCCTCGAGCGCTTCGCCTGCGTAGACTACACAGGCATCTCGCTCCTCGTGGCCGCCTCAATCATGACGACCGAATACGCCGCTTTCTACTGCGAGCCCGTCTCCCGCTGGTCCTACATGTGCATCACTGCGCTCCTCGGCGTCGGCGGCGTCATCCTACCCTGGCACCCGACCTTCAACCGCGCAGACATGGCCTGGCTCCGCGTCGTCTTCTACTGCTCTCTTGCCCTCACGGGTTTCTTGCCCTTTGGCCAGCTCGCATACACGCGCGGTGTAGTGTGGGCTCAGTACTTTTACGCGCCCATTACCAAGAGTCTGCTTGTGTACGTTACAGGCGCTTGTCTGTACGCTAGCAAGACGCCTGAGCGGTTCTTCCCAGGCCTGTTTGATTACATTGGTTGCTCGCACAATATCTGGCATCTTGCTGTACTGGGGGGTATTGTCTTCCATTACAAGGCTATGCAGGCTATGTTTACTCAGGCGCTTACTAGGGCCCAGACGAGCTGCTCATTGTATTGAGTAGGACGTTTCTCTTCTTCTTTTCTCTCTTTTGTCCCCCCCCTTTTTTTGCCTCTCTAGGGACACGGATTTCTTCTCCTTTGTTCGCAATTCTTATCTTCGCCCTGCTTGGAGCGTTCGGCATTGTTGAGCGAGTGGTTTGCATTTGCACATGACGGGTGGTCTATAGACTCTTCTTTGTTGTCGAGATGGAAGCACTGGGTTTGCTGGGTGGAAGGTGAGGTAGTACAGGCATTTGCGTGCTGAGATTGGTATTTGGTGATGGTAGAGGTTGATATTGGAAGGCTGATGTTGCCCGTATTCTACCTGACTGAATATCACTCTTTCGATATTCCAAATAGTATGATTACTTTCATCCATGTAAAACGTTTTTTGTATTCAATCTACTTGTGTCATTTTTTCAGTCTGCAGTTTGTAGTTAGTGGGTTATAAATATTGCATTCGCCAATCAACCTACTAGTACGTATGCAGTAGAGAGGCAGCAGAGCTTGTTCGACAGAGCTCGAAGACCCTCCTTTCTATCACGTTTGTTTCGATGCAACCTTTCTGATGTTTGAAAAATCCAATTCCTGAACGCCTTGCGCTATGCATAGAATCTCAAGTCTCCTTCAATAACTTTTTTCCATGTCCTCTCAAACCTTAAATTGATTCACACACTTCAATGGCTATCCGGCACATCGGGCAACCTCTCTATAACATACTTGCCCTTTGCGACACTAACAATCGGCACACCAGGAATCTTCCTTATCCTCCTCTTGAGATCTCTGTCGTTCGTCGCAACAAGATAAATCCTATGCTTTTGCACGCGATCGACAATGCAGTCATCGGCATATGTTCCCTTGTGGTCGCACTTGAGGCGCTGCCAGCGCTCGTCACGGGCAATGCGCAGGGCAATGCGGTATTTGGGGCCGAGTTTCTCCAGCTCAGCCATGACGCACGTGGTGATGATGGGCGTGGCTTTGGCGTAGAGCAGGTCCATAAGGGCTTTGTCCAGCTCAAGCTTGGCATGGACGGTGTGGGAGAGGAAGTTGGTGTCTACGAGGACGGAGTATGGAGGGCCGAGGGCGGTGTTGGCTTGGAAGAAGAGGGCGGAGGAGACTTGTGGGCTAGGAAGTGAACGTGTAAGCTGTGGATGTACGAGAGAATCTTTGTAGAGATAGCAGATGTTTCCGCTGATGTGTTTGGGTAATAAAAAGTAGAGACGTACATTTCGCGCTTCGCCTTGTTCTCTTCTTCCTTCTTCTTGGCTTCTATTTCACCAGCCATCTGGTTCTTCTTCCTGCAGCACGGTGGTTAGTGCGTGTGTGGCGGGGGAGGAGTAGCGGGGCGCCTTGTCGCATACAATCTTGCATCGCGTTGACCTTGGAGAGTATTAGAATAGAACTATTTATTTTTCGCAGGGTCAGACGGAGCATACCAACAATTCTTTTGGTGGTCGCAAACTTGCGAGTCTTCTTTGCGACACCCATGATTGCGCCAGGTGGATGTGTACTGGGTGGGGGGCGGCTCAAAGTGCGCACAGCTTGTGTACAGGCTAGCGAATTATATATAGCGTCGTCTTCAGCTACCGATAGCCGTACCGTCAGAGTGGGGTGCAGGGAGTGTGTTGTCGTGGTGGTGCTCGCAGATGGCTGCCACTAGCGCGATTCCTGACTTTTTGATGCCAAGACATGGAGTCTTCGGAATGGATCGGAACTGTCGGAACCACAGCCAATGAAAACACAGTAGGGCACCGATTCAAGTCGCGCCTGCCCTAAGCCCTATACAGCGCGGCACAGGAAGGCGCGGGCAGGCAAATCACGCAGGGCCCAGAATAGAATCGCCGTTCCTGGGCTTTGGCGCCGTCCGTCACCACGCCCTGCATACTGTTGTTTTTCGCCCGCATTCCTGAGCCAGCAGCCAGCCCAAGGCAACGTCAACACCGTGCGGCGTGGCCAAAACACTGCAAACCCCTCGCCGCATTTGCATTCACGGCTGCATGGCTGGGTGAAACACTGCGGTCAATCTCCCTCGCCCCCATCGCTGCCGTGTGTGCATTTCAGTCGCTCGGCTACGCTTCCAACATCACGCGAATCAGGCGCTCAGACGGTCTATTGCCCCCGCGGGTCCTGTGGACTCCGCCCCTGGTCACGAACCCCGTATTCCAACCCACTCTGCTACCAACCTGCGCTCACTCTCTTCCTGGTGCCCTCCGTCTCACCCCGTCACTCGTTTTCGGCGCTTCTCATTCCTAATCGATACCACCTGTAACCTGTTCATCTTTCGTCATCCACTGCCTCCCGAAACTCTGCTTTGACTGCTACGCTCTGTCGATCCGCGAACAGGGTCTCCTGAACCTTTTCCAGCCCTTCTACGCAGCTGCGGGTCATCACTGTACCCGTTGTACGACATTACGCAGTCATGCGTCCCTCGGCAGGCATCATAGGCCTGCTGCTCATAGCCGCTCCGACTGTACTTGCTCAGGGCAACAACGCACCCAACGCACCCAACGCGCCCGGTGGGACAACAGCGAGTACCCAAACCTCACAAACTGCTACTTCCGCGAACACCCAAACCTCACAAACTGCTACTTCCGCGACTACCGAGGCTGCGTCAACAACACAGACCGAGACAGGATCGACAAGTGTCTTCAATCTTGCCGGAGCTCCCACACTTGCCGGTGTTGGTGTTCCTGTCCCCCAGATTCCAGACACATCCGGGGCGGCGTTTATGCAGAAATCGAACCTCCCTGATGGAACTGTTTTCATCTGTGTCGGTGCTATCCTCGCCTTTTTCGGCGCCGCTTTGATGGCATGGCGTGGCCTTGTTGCCTGGTCGCTACATCGCTCCGTCAAGCGTGCAGCATTGAGCCAAAACATGACTGATGTCAAGTCCATGGGAGCCATGCCTCCTAACAAGCGGGGGATGTACAACGTTGTAGGTGCAAACTCCACCATGTCTCTGGATCGCTTAAATGCCGCACCAATTGGCAAGTCTGCAAAGCCCTTTACGGGCGCTCCCACTAGTTCATCCCAGAGGCCCGTATCTTCTCTCTTCTTCTCCCCTACTGCTGGTGGCGCTGCTGGCATACGGGATTCAGTAGTCAACCGCTCTTCGACCTACCTTCCTGCCGGATACTATGCATCTGGCACCTCAGCGCCTGCTTCCGGATCGCCCCAAATGCACGTCGGCGGCCAAAACTTCAACAACCTGTCTGCACTGTCTCTTTCAACGCCAGGAAACCGCTTCAGTACAAGATCCGGCAATTCGCCTCCAGAGTCGCCCTCATTGCCACCTTCTCGTGGAGGATACCCACGCGCACCTCCATCCCGAGAAGGCCTCTCTGTGTACAAACGCAATAGCGTTGCTACCCTCACTACTCCGGGAAACACACGAAGCGGTGTCTTTGGCCAAGACAGCAACCCTAGCCAGCTATCCCTCAACGTACCAGGAGGCACAAACGTTCCTGGTGGCCGCACCCCCAGCGGCTACCTTGAAGACTTGTTTGAACACCACGGCACCAACGGCACCAATGGAACCGAACGATTCTAGCGGGATCTCGAGCAACAGCCGACGAAGCAGCGCGTGCCCAGTGATAGCAGCATCATGTTGCCCCGCCGTTCGTCGAGCGTGTTTCGTGTTGCCTCTGCGGCACGCATGGAGCACCTAAGGCCTTGGTTTTCCTTATCTGCACCGTCAATGGGGGAGTATTATCGTCTTCGATAGAGAACAGAAGAAAAAAGAGAGAGAAAGAAAAGGAATGGAGCGTGCGAAGTGTGGGGGATATGTGTTGGGTTAAGAGAGTGAGGAGCAGAGTTCGGAAGAAAAGGTGCAAGAAAACACACCCACATTGTAACCGCTTCGCGTTCCGTCCGTTTTATTGGCCCTCTTTGAGGGGTGGCGCTTATTACCGTCGTATTTTGATCGCGCGTGCATATCCCCATTATCGTGTTATTTTCCCCGGGGCGTTAGGCTTGGAAGGGTCCTGTTCCTTTCCCCTGTCTGTCCCTCCCGCTCCCCCGTTTGTGATACCTTGTACCAACTTGTTACTTCTTTTCTTTTTAACTCTTTTCTTCATCTCGGTTTTGCTTTTTGGTATTCCCACCCTAGTCTGCACATGCTGTGTTACACTACACCTCCCCCGATGTAATGCATACAAAGTGTCATGGTTGGGACGTGGTACTCTCGCCCTATCCGATTGGGGTGCCGATCACGCAGACATGAGATTATTGCCTTTTTTTTATTTATATCTTTTTATTATTATGCATCTGCATTCATTGGGTAGTGGCCGTGTTTTCCTGCTGGGTGGTTGAGGAGTGGGCTAGTTGTTGAGGAGGAACGTTGGAGGCGGTGGGAGAAACGAGTCGGAGAGGCAAGGACATTGTACTACGTTCTTGGCATGACGGTGAGTGGATAGAATGGAACAGTAATGATAGCCAAGGGAAAAAATGTGTAATTGAACTGTGAAGAAGGATGGGCAAAGGATGTTTGGCATGGCTGGACAAAAATAAATTAGAGCAGATGAGGAAAACCCGGGTTACGGAACACATTGTTTATCTAGTCTATCACTCGTGTTGTACACGCAACTTTGCCAAATTCCAGATGCCTGTACACGCGCCCCCCTTTTTTGTCTATCGACCCATCATGCATGCATGCGTAGATCCCTACACGTTTTTGGAAACCCACCATATGCAAAGTAGTGTTTGATGTGCAAGAATGCAAGTGACTACCTTGCTCTCTTGGGCATAGCTTTTCGCTTCCTTGCCTCGCCGTTAAGGTTGGACGCCGTGGCGTTCTGGATGGCGGCTTCGTCTTCGGGGAGGTTAGAGGAGTCGATGAGGGGCTCGTCGAGGAGTTCCTTCTTGCCCAGGACACGTCCAACAGACTGGTTGTAGGCAAACTTGGGGAGCTTGAACAGAAGGGTGTCGTAGATAGTGGGCTTGGGTTCCTCGTTGGGCTGGGTATTGTTAGTCTACTATATAACATTGAGTCAAAGGGAAAGATGTGCACATACGTCAATCAGGAATTCACCCTTTTGGCCATCCTCAGTCTCATGTTCCAAGAAGACATTACCGACAGAGTCGACGACAAGAATCTTGCCATTTTCGGCGACGATGCGCTTCTTGGCTCCCTGGGGACCGGATACAACCTCTGGCTCAGCAGGAGCGCTGATGCCATCGGTGCGTGCCTTCCTCACAGCTTGGACCTTCTTGGGCTTGCGGGCATCCTTCTCCATGGCACGTCGCTCGCGACGATTCCTTGGGATTTGCTCATCAGGGGTGTCGTCAGGCGAGTCAGTTTCGAATTGCTGAGCATTGACGGCAGGGGGAGTGTCGTCGATGCCTGGAATACCCGGGAGGCCACTCTCGTCACCCCACGCAGTCTTGCGTGCTTGTCGGATATACCTCTCAGCAAACTCCCTGCGGCGCTTCCATCCCATGACAAGGGCGAAGTAGTGGAATCCACCACCAAAGACGGTAAGAAGACCCACAATGACGGAACCAAGGCCAGGGCGGAAGCGGTCGTAGTAGTATCCGGAGCCCTTCCATGCAGGGAAACCGTTCCTCAAGAAGTGATCGTAACGTTCGCGTTCGGGGCCCTGAAGCATCTTGGCGACAACGGATAGTCTCTGGTAGGCGGCCGTGACCTTTTGCACATGAGCCTCAATTTCCCTGTTTGATGGCTGCTTGCCGACAGAGGTTCCCTTCTTCTTGTTCTTCTTCGCATAGTTGGCAACGAATGTCTGACGGGCCTTGTCAGGGTGGAGGTCGCGCGACTTCTTGCGGAAGGCTTTGGTCAATTGGTCCTGCGACGCGTTGGGCTTGACACCGAGGAGATCGTAAAAGGTGACATTTTGGCCCTCGATTTTGGCGACTTCGTCACGGATGCGAAAGATTTCGTGGTCTGGCGTAAGCCGTCAGCAAATAGCTCCTAGGTTGTTGTCACTGGCTGCACCCATGCGCCTCGTCGCAAATCTGGCCCGAAGCAGGCAATTGGAGGCAGGCACAGCTGGATTGACAAAATTAGAAATTCACGCACCTTCTTTAGTCCAGGCAGCGGCGAATGCAGCGAAGATGCACAGCACGAGTGCAAGCACCGCGTGGGATCTCATGGCTGGGGGAGGTTGTGGTGGAACTGCTCGCAGGTGATAGGGAGCAGATGTTCAATAGTCGTGCGGTGAGACCGCTGGGAGAAGGGAACGTGGCCCAATGGCTCTAGGCCTGTAATAAATGAGACAGCGGCGTTGCAGCTCGCTCCAAGGGGATAAATATGCGATCACTTGCTAGCACTACTATTGCGATTTCCGCAAAAGTCTAGGTGGCCTCCCACGCTCCAATGAAACCCGCCCATCTCAGAACCGACTAAGGGGGCTGACGGCTCGCTCGGTGGCTTGGGTGAGGGCAGCACGACCCTGAGCCACGGGATTCGCGGCAGGGGCAGGGACGGCCAACAAAAGTTGCCATATCGGCGACGACACCCATTCCACTTCCTTCTACACCACACTCTCTTTTCTTACTCGGCCTCTGCGCACGCCGCGTCACCTTCCCAAGCCTCGGACGACTAATTCCCATCCCGTAAGGCAGCCGTTTACTAGATTAATTGCCCCTCCTCCCCTTGCCCTGAGGACACATCTCCAACCCGTTCTTCTCCTCCCATATCACCAGCAGCTAACCACGGTTTCGCCTGTAGGTTTCCAAGCCCAGTAATAGGCCCTTCACTCCCGACGACCATTACCAGACACCGCTACCCACCTTCCATCCACCTTCCAACTACACACCCTCCACCATGTCGCGTTTCAGCATTCCCATCGATGCGCTAACCTCGCGGATGAATTTTGGCGGTCGCTTTGACAGCCTGCGCTCCACGTCGGTTTCGTCGCGCTTCGCCAATTTGCGACCCATTAGCGAATTTTTCGATGTCAAGCGCATGTCCAAGCCCGCCAACTTTGGTGAAGTGCAGAGCAGAGTCAACTACAACCTGGGCTACTTCTCAAGCAACTATGCTGCTGTCTTCGTCATGCTCAGCATCTACAGCTTGCTGACCAATCTGATGCTCCTTTTTGTCATCTGTCTGGTCGTCGGAGGCATGTACGGTATCGGCAAGCTCGAGGGCAATGATCTTGAACTTGGCAGCTGGCGCGCAACCACTTCTCAACTATACACCACGCTGTTCGTCATTGCAGTTCCTCTCGGTCTCTGGGCCTCACCCTTCACCACTGTTCTCTGGCTCATTGGAGCGACTGGTGTGACTGTCGTGGGCCACGCCGCATTCATGGACAAGCCAATCGAGTCAGCTTTTTCCGAGGAGGCGGTCTAGGTGGTCGGCCGCGAACTCCTTACACTATGCCCCACTGGGGAAGACCACCAGGGGGCTCGTCGGGTGTGGGGAGATACTTTGAGGGGGTGGACGATGTGCATAGATTTCAAGAATTGTCAAGCGATGACGAAAATGGCGGTGTTACAATAGAGGGGGCGTTTGAACCGGCATTGGATGGCAAGAAGATTGATCCAGATGAGCTATACTTTAATGATATGGATATTAGAGCGTGGGAACGGAGGACATCAGCTTTAGCGGAGCCTATGCACGGACCTGTGCATGGTTATCGAGGTTATCGTGAAGAGTACTTTGGTGGACCGGGCGAAACGATCAACCCGGCCGAAGTGGAAGAGATGCTCTTTCGGCGGGTGCTTGACAAGATCCGCGTAGCCAGGGCAGCAGGGAATACAGATGTTTCACTCAGTGCGGAAGAACTCGACGCATATCAATCACGACTCTATGGTGCACGAGCCCCTGCGGTACGTCCCGAGCCGCAGCCTCGACCTAGCAGTGCTTCATCATCCAAAGATACCGCTAGTGTTTTGAGCTACGATGCGACTGGGAAGCATGATGCTTTGTCACGTTCAAAGAAGAGCCAGCAGCGAACGTCGATGCCCGGCTCCAAGTCCAAGAAGGAAAAGCGGCCGAGTGCGCACAAACGTACGTCGACTGCATCCACGACAGAAAGTCATGCAATGCCGCCAGGCTTCGTTGTGCCTGGTCCAGACGGACAATCTACTTATGCACCGATTAATGCATATGAAGGCAGTCTGGTCCGTGGGCAAGGACCTGTGCATCCAACATCCCGTTCGGCGTCTGATAATGGCCGCCACGTCGCAATGCCTCTGCACCGCGCTCCTTCCATCAATATGCTAGGCTCGTTTCCGGAATCGGTTTACGACTTTCAGCCTGAATCGCCTCTGGTGCCGGACAATCAGCCATCATATCGACAAACAGCCTACGAAGCTGATGTGCCAGCTGACGCCCGCACTGGATCATCGTCTGTTCAGTCTGCCCGCCTTGTGCCGTTCCCTGTGGAGCCGTACCAGTATCACAACTTTAGCCCAACTTCGTCTTCATCGCCAACTTCGCCTCAACCGCAATACACTCGAAGTCTCAGCTCGGTGGTTTCGGAGGCCAGCTATGCATCGGTTCCACGGCGTGTCCCTCCGGCTCCTCCTCTAGCACCTGCACCGGTACCGGTACGGCGAGTGGCAGATGTTGTTGTCAGTCAAGATGGACACAACGACGTCGTAACTCCGGGCACACAGCCTTCTAGCTCGGCGACTGCGGTGCAAGTCCAAGGAAAGACAAAAGACAGTGGCAATGGTCAGGGAGGTGAGCGACGGCGCAAGGGAGGTAAAGGTAGTAAGAAGAAAGGCTGAGAGGGTGATGGTGTGCTGCTACCTCGTCACGAGTCGGACTTTGATTCTCGATGGCTTCCCGATGTGGCGTGTTGGATTCAACTATCTGGTATCCTGGCGAGGGTTGGATGACGGCAGATTGGAGTCAGACGTAGCCACGTATGTAGTGGGCCCTTTTGTATTCGTGGTGTCCAAGTAACTCTATCTTTTAATTTTCTCCACTACTTGTGTGCTGTCCCGAACAGTCAGCCGATTTGAGCGTGCAAACGGCACCAGGGCTGTCTCAAGAGGGCAAAGACAGCATGCAAGAAGGCGTCCATGTGCTGGATCGAGACCCCTGCACGACTTGTTGAATACCATGTTGCGTATGCTGCATCTGCAACGGTTGGTCTCGAACGTCTGTCTTGCATTCCTGACCCATTCGTGGCACAGGGATGGTGAGCGCGGGCCTGCACACGGAAAGGATGCACAACGAAGAGGTTTCTTCTTCCCACTACGGTGCAAGGAATTTTTTTGCTCTCTTCTTGGATGCAACCAGGGAAGCGGGACGGACACTCTGGCGGCCAGCGTCTCTTTATCGTGTACTACTAGATACACTGGCTGTCTAGCGGGTCGTGCATAAGGGTTCACGCACAACATCGCACACGTGCATGTGCACAAGTAGGCCAGATGGCTTCGGCACAAGTTGCCAGCCGGCCCAGTTGGGGGTGCCGGGCGGCAACGTACCTGCAGGGATGGACAGTAACGTGAGGCCAAAGAGGCCCCAAGTCAGCAAAGAGCGGTCAGCTAGTCCCTCCAAGCGTGCGGCCAGTCTGCGACGATCATTCCTCCGCTCCACAAGTTCGCGCGCATATCTTTCACCAGCCCGAGCTGTCACCCGTCATTCTCGACCAGCCAATTCGTTACCCCAACCGTGCGAACAAGACTGTATTTATGGTCCCTTTGCCGCGTTGACGTGGTCCTTGTCAAGTCATTCACTTCTCCGCCCGCTGTGCACGGCCACGCATCTGGTGCCATAGCTTTGTTTGGGCGACGATACATACATATAGGGCTGTCACCGATTGTTCTTGTCTGCTCGCCTCGTAAAAAAACAGGGCTAGCTAGCTGAGCCGAACCGACCGCCCAAGAGCCCGACATCACATTGGGCGACAGAAACGAGGCAAAGAAGAAAAGGCCAGTAGGGACGACAGAGAAAGAGACCGACAAGATTGATTGAAGCCCAAAAGAGACCCACTTTCTTCACCGGCATTACCACTGTCTTTTGAAACAAGGCCGCCGTCCAAGGCTTTTTAGTGAATATCTTGCGCTGGCCAACCCGCAACTCTGACAACAACAACAACCACCACCAACATAAAAAAACAGTCATACTTGCAGTTGTTTCACAAAGGCATCGCCACATCTGGGCCAATCCGTCCCATCACATCGGTCACTACTGCACCTGAATGCGCTGGGCCGACAATTACACTTTACAGCACCGCATCCCGCCTTCGGTTGCCCGCGCCCACGCCTCTACTAAACAAGGTCCCGCATCCACAAAAAGCGCCTTGCCACTCACTGCCTGTCTCCGACCAAAACCAATCCTTCTTCTTCCTGCACCTGCATCCTCATCCTCATCCTCAACCCCGATCTTGACCCCGGGTTCGAACAATTCCAAGCATCCACGCGCCACCATGGGCAGCAGCTGGAACCCCTTTTCCGTCTCGCCCAACCGGCGCTCGTCGTCATACCGACCGGGCTACGCCTCATCGTCCTACTCGTCGTCGTCGCGCCACCACAGCTCGACATCGCGGTACAAGCGCTCGCCCCGCGACAACTACATGCAGCACCTGTACAAGAAGCTGCAGCACTTTTTGCGCGAAATCTGGCGCTACGCCCAGCGTCACCCCTACAAGGTCTTCTTCATGATCATCATGCCCCTCGTCTCCGGTGGCGTCCTGCACAAGCTCGCCCGCCAATTCGGCGTCAACCTCCCCCAGATGGGCAACCAGCCCCAGCACCGCGGTAGCACCGCCGGCGGATACTACGGCAGCCAGGGCTACGGCCGCGACACATATACCTCCTCCTCCCGACGGAGCGGCCCCCCGACAAACGCCCCCGCCAACGGCGGCGGTGGCATGATGGCCAGCCTGCAAAACATGGACATGGACAAGGTGGCTGGCGGCATCGGCGGTCTGGCGACCCTGGCGAGTATGGCGTCTAAATTCGTCTAACGACTTCCATCAGGAGATGAAGGGTTGACCATTTTTTTCCCAATCTAGGAACTGCGGAGAATATCTTCACCATTGCCAGAGTCGTCGGCAGCTTGTCTAGGGGCGATATGGGCTCGTTTTGAAGTTCGCCCTTATAAGAGCTTGGGGGAGGTACGTGTGAAAAAAAACAAAAAGAGATGGAAAGGGAAGGGGGAAAAAGTACGGGGAAGAGATGGAGATATACATAAACACGTGTGCTGTACGACTTATGATGGATTACGATTTGGAAAGTGTTGCCTTGGTTGGATATACCTTGGATTCATATTTCCCTTGGGGGGGTTTTTTTTTCTACTTCTTTGTTTCTTATTTCGGAAATATCGCTTGTTTTGTTTTGTTTTGTTTTGTGCCAGTTCTGGTTTTTTTTTCTTGCCTTTAGAGATATCCCTCCCCTTGTGAAGAGGTGTTAGGCTGTCAAAGCCTTATCCCTTACTTTCATGAGGCGCAATTGCAATATGATTCAACTCCGTTCTTCGGTTTTTCATGCTCCCCATGAGATGTTCACTTCGTGCTCCAAGTTCAAAGATGGGGCCCATCATATTCAAAATGTCATGTCATATTCGTATCCCAAGATCCAACCTAAGAACAAATATAAGGAAAAAAAAAGGGCCAGAAATCATTTCCCTTGTTCAGGATATCCCATCATCATCATCATCTATTCATGATAGATTAAGGCTCGTCCATGTTCGCGCCCAAACCCTCCCAAAAGCCCAACCTCGCAATCTCCCCCTTAGGCAGAAACTACATTAGCAAACACCTTAGCCGCAAGGCTACTCAACAACCTCGCCTTATCCGCCTGCGGCATCTCCTGAAAGACGGCATAAACACTCTTACCCTTGGCATCCCTCACCGCGCCCAACCGATTCCCCGCGACAGCGCCAGCCACCATACCGGGAAAATTAGCCACAATGAATCCCATGGCACCGCCACTCAGCCCGCCGACTAAACTCCAGAACTTGCCTGTAGGATGCGCCTCTGCATCCGCCATGCCCTCTTCGCGCAGCATCTCTTCAAAGATGCCGCCGAACTGCTCTTCAGAGAAGCGGTTGTGCGATTCTTCCGTTGTGCCTGCTGGCGCGGATCCGAAGCCGAATGCAGACCAGGGGAAGCCTTGGGCGAATCCTGTACCGGCACCCGCGTTGGCGTTGGCATTGTGAGGTATCTCCTCGTCAAATTCCGGCTCGGGCGTTGCCGTGGTGCCTGTGAAGCTGTTGTATGTGCGAGCAGCGTCGTAGTCGCGGCGGCGCGTGGCGTCCGAGAGCGTGTAGTATGCGTCGTTGATTTGCTGGAAGCGCTTTGTGCGGCTTGCGCGCTCGGGCGAGTCTGAGGGCACGCGGTCCGGGTGGTGCTTTAGTGCGGCTCTGGTGAGGTGCACATGGTTTGTTAGAGAGTGGACGTTTTCTGGAGGGCTGAGTGTAGTAGAGGCAATGGTTACTTTTTGTAGGCATCGCGGATTTGCTGTTGCGAGGCTTTGACGTCGATTTCGAGAACTTTGTCTGCGGTATTGTGTAAGATCACAGTGATATGAAGTGGGTATGTAAGAGTGCCTTACAATAGTCTACGGAAGATGCTGTGGAGTATTAGCTGAAGGTCTGCCCATTAGGCTGCTGTGAAGCTCACCCATGATGCACAGGCGCTTGATGGACCGAAATCTAGAGATACGGTTGTCTGGAACTTAGGTACGAAGTAACTTCTAGCGGGGCTTCAGGTAGATTTCTTGGTATGGAAGAGTGATAGGTGGTAACGTGGCGCATGGGTGGGAGTCAAGATTCAGGTACGCGGGTTCAGATAGCAATGACGTAGACGCGAACTTGACCCACGTTTGCACGTGAAGCAATCGTTTTCCCACTTCACTCCAAAAAAAAAAGACCCGCATATATTATTAACTTATGTAATTAACACTAGCCTGATCTAGTCGAACAAGAAACATGAAACAAATGTCCAGCACACAAGGCTACAGAGAAGAAGCGTTCGTTCCCAGCTACCAAGATGCCAATATTACAGACAGCACATGAACGTGACATCCAGAACTAACCACTTTCTCATACACAGACTTAACTACAATGAGATAGCAATTATGATCATAGGTAATGTGGCGCCGCTCCTACCCACCAGGTATCATACAACAAGTCAGTCTCCCAAAACCTTCCAGCACCACCCGAAACACTCGTTCGATTTATCCAATATTAGCTTTCCTCCAAATTTAGAAAACATGCTACTTTAGCTGTACATCAATGTCATGCGATCTAGCAAGCATCTTCAACGTCGGAAGCTAGAGCTTAGTCCAGAAAAGGCATCAGGCGAATGACGTCCACCCATTAGTCCAGCAAAATCCACACTCTCGTTGCTAACATGTCTCACGCCCGGTGTCTGTGCAGCTGACAAAGCTTGGCCTTGGGGCGCAGCAGACATGCTAGCAAATGGATTCGACTGGCCGGGTGCTTGCGTAGCTGGTGCGGCTGGCACTGGGGCCTGTGTACCTGTTGGTTGAACTTGTTGCTGTGCTGGCTGCTGAGATGTCGCCTGTGGTTGGTTGTACAAGGAGAGAATCGAAGCGTTCTTATCAAACGGGTTGGAACTTTGTTGCTGGTATAATTGTTGTTGATTCTGGAAGCTTTGCTGCTGGCTCTGGTAGTTTTGAACAGAGGTCTGGGTTTGGGCTTGGTAACCAGATTGACTTTGCCAAGGGTTTGCTGGCTGAGGAGTTGGAACTTGACTTTGTTGTTGTTGTAGCTGCTGTTGCTGTTGCTGTTGCGACCATGGATTAGGCATTGGCTGTTGGGGTGTAACTGACTGTGGCTGCGTTGCCTGCTGCTGGAAGGGTGATTGTCCGAAAGGATTTGAGCTTCCCATGTTAGTCGGTGTGAATATTTGGCTTTGAGACGACTTTAGGAAGGGGTTTCCTGGACTTGAAGGGCTAGACATGGACTGGTACTGCGGTTGCTGTGGGGCCATGAAGGAGTTGTACTGCTCGGGTACCTGTGGCATAGAAGGTTGCGCGAAAGGTTGGAGATACGGGTTCGTTTGAGCGTACGAGGTTTGTGATTGTCCATAACCGCCAGTTCGGTTTGGGAACAGTGGTTGTTGAGGCTGTGAACTCGAGACTTGCATATTCTGGAAAGATTGTTCGAGGCTCTGCTGTTGCTGCTGTTCCCAAGGATTTGGTAGGTATCCAACGCTTTGCTGTCGTTGTTGCTGTTGCTGCTGGGGGACCTGCTGCTGGGTATAAGCTTGGGATGCCTGTGATAAGAATGGATTGTAAGAATTTGAAGCATATGACTGCTGTCCTTGAGCTCCTCCATAGAATACCTGCTGTTGAGGAGCCTGGGCTTGTGCATCTAGAGCATCAAATGGATTCGTAGACGATGAGGCGGCGGGTACAGTATCGAAAGATAGACCGTTGGCCACAGGCTTCGTAGGCGGAGTTGGCGTGGTACTTCTTGATTTGACAGGATTTTGTTCGCCCAGTCGTATCAGAGCCTCAACAGCTCGATCGAGGTTCCCATTCAGACCCTTTAGTACAGTGGAGTTGCGCTTCTCATCCGGAAAGCCCATGTCCCGAAGTGTGGCTAGTTTGGAGTCCATGCCGTCGCCTGATGTATGTACATTGGAGCCAAACACGCGCGAAGGCTTGTTTACTCGGGGTGGGGACAAATCTTGTCGGAATTCTTCGAGACCTGGGGAGATGGGAGGTGTTATGTTGCGCGGCGAAGTTGCAGCTTTACGCAGCCCGAATCCAAAGCGACCACTTGGCTTGGGCGGTAATGGCGGCGGTCGGTCTTCTGAGCTCGTGCTACCTGTGTTTTGCCGTGTGCCTGGCCGTGAATCGTTGAGGTATATTCTCTGCTCGTACTTTGCCCTGATGTACCGTTCCATAGCACTGTCTACCTCGTCGATATCGATGGGTATTTGCGGCTTGACGTTACGGGGATTGTATGTCTTGTTGGACTCGACATTGCCGATGCGCTTCATGTTCTACAACATTGATCAGCACCCATGCGCCCATAGTGCATGTCGCGTCTCTTACATCAACTTGGGCGTTGTCCCACTTGTCCATGCTCAGCGACTTGACTTTGGAGATGTGCGTGCCCAGCTTGCGATGCAAGGCTGCGCATCGCATACACAAGAAGATGCCCAGCTACAGCACATGTCAGCGTCCGGTTCGTAGTCGGGAGACGGGTGTCGGGGCCAAGGAATGTGGGAGACTCACGCTCCAGCTTGCCCATCCTGCGTAGCCGTTGTTAGCGTGTGCGTGGAACGAGATGCGCCTGGGGATTGCATACCTGGATTGCGCGCGCCGCAGTCTGCGCAGTTTCCATTTCCAGGGACCGACTTGATGAGTTCCTGTAATGTGCGCTCGTTACGCGCCTGCTGGCGTTTGTTCAGGGCAGACGCCATGTCGTGTCGAGAGAGGAAGCGGTTGGGCGTCGGAGGTAGAGTCGGGAGATCGGTTGAAGGTGCACGGGAGCAATGCGCGGGGAGAAAGGGGGCTCGAGGGACGGCAGGTGGCGGGTTGGTAAGATGACTATGCGAAAAAAGACGTTTCCATGGCAAAGGTGGACATGAGCAGCGAAGGGGCAGACAGCGAAGGGGCACTTAGTTCAAACGCAATGACGAGTAGCCCATCTGTTCCATCTTCATACGCACATGGCATCCCGCAAAGCTCCAGAACCCTGCGTCTCGGCGGCTCGGGCTATATACAGCACCACGCCCCTGTCTGAGCTTTACTACACTCCACCAGAGGCGTCGTCATGGCCACACGAATGGGCAATCGGCTACGGGCAGCACAGAGACAATTTGCCCACGCGACAAGGCTTTGGTGAGCGGCATTGGACACGGCCTCCGTACTTGGGCCTCTCCCAAGCCGCCGATGCTGCCGACACGCAATGCAAAGGGCCTGTTAGTTGCTGATGGGTTATTACCAGACACGCCTGCAGACTCCATGCTCATCTCCCGCTCCTCTGGGCCCAGCAGCACATGTGTAAGCATGTACTGCCGACACATACTTTCCGCCGTGTCAAGTCGACTGCGCAGCTGACACGACATGCGTCTAGACAGGTGCATGTATCGTCCAGTATGTTCCATGTACTCCAATGGGAGCTCAAGCATCGAGGTATGTATGGTCACGCAGGTGGCTTCAAGCAGCATTGAAAAGGATGCAAAAAGCCTAAAAGTGCCGGGTTCATCTAAGACGCAAATATGACAACTATAGAGATTGCAAGCTCGTTATAGCCGTTGATTAATCGTCCATTTGTATGATTGTGTGTAAAGAAGAGAAAGCCGAGTCGGGGCTGCAGTGAGAATTTCAACGGCACGCTGCCAAGATGGATGACAAAGCACGTGGTCCGAGCGCGCTTGATGGATTTTCTCCCACCTCAAAAAGATTGCTGCTGTCCCTCTTGTCTTCCAACAACAGCGGCGTGCAGTGTACCCTACCACGGGCAACGCGTGCCTCCCATCCCCAACGATTCATGTCTGTCGTTTGGCGAGGCGCTGCTGCCCTACACAGCCCATGCTGTCAAGCCACCATTGCCTGCTCCCAGGTTCACTTCTCTATGGCCTGGAAGCAACATTTTCTCTCGGTGGAAGATTAATATTGGTTTTTAGCAGAGCCGTGTCTTCTCCACCCTACCCATTGCCGTCTTCTAGATGTGTAGGACTATATTTTGACATACATGCCCTTCCCACACTGCATCCTGCGTGACACTGAGTGTGCACCGGCCATGGGCTTGTCAGCCATCAAAGGACACGCTCGCCTGCATCCAGGCTGCCCATACCACACTCAACCCACCGAGCAGGTTGTAAGCCGCCCGAGGGGAAACTGCGGGCGGTTGCAAAACCAAGTGCGCTGGATACGGCCATGGTCTCTAGCGCTCTCAATCGCACGGCCAAACAGACTTCCTCATACCCGTACACAGCACATGTACCATCAGTGTTCCGGTTTGTGAACCGACTATACACACGTGATCACACTGTCTTTGTGGAAGCACATGCAAACCAGCCATATGGTTAAGGGTGCAAATGAGTCCAAAGGATCCGCCACGTTGACGGCACGGCAGACGCCGTCTTCGGCCAGCCCAGACATATCGAGCTCAGTGCCAGAAAAAATAGACACGGCCTCTTCACCACAACCGCATCTCACCTTTCCAACAACGGCAGGCCAACGTCCACAATGTGGGTCGATGCACAGAAGCATGGCGACTAGGGCGGTCAGGAAACCCTTGAGCCTAGTGTTTTACCACACACGGTCGAATCAGAAAACACAACACTTGCCTAGCCGTCCTTGTTAGGCTTAGCGAGCCAGATTCCGACCGCAGCTTCCACCATGCCTACTCATCGCCCACTGTTCGCTCCTTCCATAGACGGTCTTGTACCTTGCTCCAACCTTGCACTGAACAAACTACCTTCGGTCTCCTATGACGGTCTTTCTTGCTATTAGCTCCACTTCATTATTATTTCAGGAATTACATTGCCAGCAAAATCAGGGACAGTTGAATCGCCCAGCACGTACATCTGCCAAGATGCTCAAGTCCTCTGAAAGAAAAAAAGAACAGCGCGAATGATTGCAATTCCTTCGGTTGTGAGACGACGTCGCTGAGCTGAGTTATGGCAATACAGTCAGCTAGCGGCCATATAGAGACACGAGCAAAACCACCCTTTCGGCCCCTGGGAGCGTGAGGCTGAGATGCTGGGTATCTTCACGCGTCATTCGATTCACCCGTCGACCGGTAATCATGTACTATTGGATAGACATCCACTCTTGATTGGCTGCACGTCGAATATCTTGTACGGACGTACCAATGGCATCCTTTCATCTACTCGATCGTCATTCCACTGTGGATTTGAGCACAGGCTTTCATGTACGATATTCCCCAGTTCCCGTACTAGCCGGGCGCACAAGCCCGACTGCAATGGCATCGTCAGCTTCTACGATGACGACCCCTGTTCATGCAGTTATTCCGTAATACCGGACGAGCAGCCTTGCTATCCGCAGTGCTGGATTCCAAAGTCTGCTGCCATCTCTCGCAGATCGTCCCCGTTCAAGCACATAGCACCCTCCGCTAGCTTACCCTATTTCCCAAAGCCGTCAAACTTCCTAGCTTTACAGCAAGCGAAGGATGCTGATGTCTTGTATCGCCTCGAACACTATGATACCAACCCCACCCTACACCTAAAAGGTACTTGTATCGGCACCGGGCGATAGCATAAATACTAATCCTGCGCCCCAGTTCTAGAGCGCAACAAATGGTACTCCCCCAGTCCCAACCGCTCAAAATACCATTCAAAATCCAATATATATTCGTCCAGTCCTTTGTTATTTACCAGTTCTCTAGCTCAAACAAGGGCAACAACAATTGCGTCTGGAGTATTGGTAAAAGAAAACTTTAATTCATGTGTATAACTTCAACGCTCCTACTGTAAGCATAGATGGCCTCAAGAAACACGCTGGAACTTACTGCCCAGATAGACCTGTACCGTTTAATAGAAACGTCTCATCCCTGCGAACCACTCTGCCAACCTAGGGTCATATTTTATCACCTCACTCATGTGTGCTGAGGACGTGTATCATAACCGGCGGGTCAGTCCGCAACAGCCAGTGTCATCCACCAAGGAATCATCTACACATGGTGGGCAAACCTCAGAAACTGACAAGAACGATTGGTCCGACGTCAGTGACCGCAGTGAGCGACGAAAGATACAAAACAAACTGGCTCAAAGAAGATTCCGTTAGTAGTATGCTCCAGCCTCGATTGCTTGAGCTAAAGTTAGTGAAGGTGACAGAATAAGAGAGCAGAGGGAAGAGGCCGAACGAGACGAAGAGAATCAGCGAAAAGCCGGGGCATCATACGCACAACCAAAGCCGGAAGAAATTGATACCGACCATAGTCTTTCAGGGCTACCTTGGGGTGGCATTTCGATGAGACACATGGTTGAACAAGGAAAGCATAGACGCCGAGGCTCACAAAAAGATGTTAACAGTGGCTCTACTCATCACAATGCATCATCCGTTGAAGAAGATAGCAGTAAGTGATGATATGGTATGAACACAATTTAGGTCAGTGTTCAAGTATGCTGACTTTATAGGGTGGACCTACTTCTAAACCGAAAGGGCAAATGCACATCGATCTGATCAACCCGGAACGACGGCATGAACTCAGGGATCCAGAAATCTTAGTGTTCTCTGGCACCGCTTTTTTTCCGCTGTAAGCGCGAGGCCCAAATCATGGGTGTTTTGGGGGGTGTCGTGGTGTCACTACCAAGTATTGAAAGCATTTGATAATGCCCGCAGATCACCAGCTCCTTCTCCACCAACACACTTGCTACACCGAACAGTTTTGGGGGCTTGTCTCAATTCGGGGCTCACATCGATCACTGCTCGGTCATCGTTGTTGTTGTTCGGGGGGCTGTTCCGCTTCGCTCACACGCGCGGCGGTTACTCGAAACCTCTGAATGGCCGACTTCGGATTTTCTCATGCAAGAGGCGCAAGTTTGCCCCGCCTCTTTTAATTAAAAACGTTGCTGAAAACCAAGTGCGAAACGTGATAGACTGTGTCGTGTGTTGGACTTCGTGGATCTGTCATAGCCTGAGGTATGAACGGTCAGCGCGCTTTGATGGACATGGACCACTTAATCCCTGGTGAACCGCATCACCATTTTCTCATGACAGCGTATGTCCGTTGGCTAAGCCCCAATTCTCTTCTAAAATAAAACATATCCAAAGGTCATAGGATGCAGAATGACGACCTCAGCTGAAGTGGAAGCTTGCAAGGTACCTAGGCCTGCGATGTGCGACCCAAGGCACCCTCAGCGGTGTGGGTGTCGTCGACGTGCGGCGCGCATGATATATCCATTAACATGGTCAGAAGCTTGACCAGAAGCGTATTACTCCTCCCACTTCAGTCAGCCTTATACCAGGCAGAGGTTCAGCTAGTGACTGATGGATGCAGGGGTTCGGTCGTGCCGTGAGGCTGAGCAGAAGCCAGGCCTACCTACGTCAGTTCCCAGCTTTCTGCCATTACAGGCCAGCGCTGCCTGCAAATACGGCAGAGTTCGCTGCCTGGCTTACTACTATGCTGATTATCCGAGACAGCAAGCATACTCGCATACTGGCCCTTGGTACGTATTCGCGTTTGTATCGAATTGTTGTTGTTCCTGCTGCAAGTTGGATCACGAGCCTCGCCCCCCACTGCGGTGCGCGAACATTGTGCCTTGCATTATCACTCCAGGTCAGCCTGCGATAACTGAGCCCGACCATTTAGCGGCATTTGTGAGATGAAGGTACGGCGGCAAAACGAGATAATTGTCTGGACAAGGCAATCCCTCGCTCATCGGCCGCCCTTAATTTAACCATATAGGGAAAAGGCTGTGTCGCTTCGAAGCAAGCAGACCTGGGCAGTACGCCTCTTGGTGCGGCGTCATTGGCGCATTGCCAGTGTTGTCCGTGAAAAAAGTGGATATTATGAAAGTTATGTTGTCTGGAAACAGACAATTGACGCAACAAAGAGACCAATGTATGCGGACTTGCGGCAAACGTCCGTCACCATGCCACCACACCTGTTCCGGTCAGCCAGGCAGAAGTGCGGCGTCGACATCTTTTCTCCTCAACTTCGGCTCTGCCCGAGCAAGCCACATCCGCTCCATACGTCTCAACGCTCTGAGGCACGGATGTGCTCCTCGTTAAGCGCCGTCATGAGATAGACCGTCTTCTCTGCCTACACGATGGATCAGCTAAGGTTGTGGCGTGGAGCCCGGGGATGCCGGGCTGGTATATAGTCCATCAACTGGGCTTTTAGTATGGAAGCACCCCAATACGAAGACACTCCATGTCAGCAGAGCAATTCTCAAAACTCTCTCTAGGAGGGGACATGGTAACCACTCGTGCCGGAGCTGCAAGGGCAGCGAGAGCCTACTCACAATCGTCTAAATCAGAGCACTCCAACCAAGACCAGCCACTACCATCGGTTGAGCCTACAGTTTCTCCTACACCTTCACTTGTTATATCCACCAAGAATCTACAGTACAATGTCTCGGCTTTCGACAACGACCTGCGTAGGAGAGCGAGGAAGGGACTGGAGGGCAAAGACATCAGAATGAAATACTGTGCCATCTCTGAGGATGAAGAAAGTCCAGATGGAAGCCCTAAGAAGTATTTTTATCTTGACGATGATATCACGGTAGCTATAGGCGGAGAGTTGCGGAGACCAAGATGTTCATGTGGTGCAAACGAAACTGGCATTGCATGCAAGGTATGCTTATTCATTGACATTCTTTTGAACACCCAAACTAAACATCAATTGAAGCATATCTACTGGGTTGGAGACCAGATCATGTCAACTGCCTATGACGATATGGTCAAGACGCCTCTTCATCTTTCACCAGACGGCTCCAAGATCGAAGACGTAAAGCCGGATAATATACTGGATACCAAAGGCCTAGTGAACATTGCCAACGATCTGAAGTGGGTTTACCGAGATGACGAAGTGCCCGAGGACGACGAGGATATGAGGGAAGCGATCACCGACATGCTTTCTTGCTTCGCTCCTCAGGAAGAATTGCCTGGAGAGTTTAAATGGCCTGAGTCGCCACTGACATCTGAGCGCTCGAAAAAATACCAAGATCTGGCGGACCTCATTACTGAGTATGCCAATAGAGACGCTAGCCTGTATCTTCGTGTGCGTCGAATCGTCGATCCAGATTTTGAAAGTCGCGTTTTCTTCGAGAAGGTCGACAACCGTATCGAGTCGACCTTCAATGCGTTGGAGGAGTACGTTGCCAAGGGCCCGACCACGAATTCATTCCCGGATGCACTCCGTTTCGATGTACCCAGCTGTGCAAAGAAGCTCAAAGCACTAGTCTGCGCTATTGAAGATTTTTACCAGAATCACTCACACGTTGAAGATGTAGCTGTTCGTGCAGCTGGAGCTCTGATCAAGATCCTCGACCGCGTAACAGACCGTAACGAGAATGCATACGAGAACATTACATGGGAGTGGGAAGCTCCCTCTGACCCCAATCAGAGCAACCTCTACGTCTCGCTCATTGGAGCTTATGATGATGATGATGATGGTGACTCGCCATTTGTCCTCGACGCCCTTGGGTCTTTGCCGCAAGAGGCTGTGTATCGCAATCATTGGGAGACCCTACAGGACATTGAGAAGAAGCTTACTGAGTCTGGAGCCTCGCTGCAGTACATCAATATTTTCCGCAACATTGTCTATGAACCCCGCAAGAGGCCTGGATCCGAGGTTCGTGAACGAGAACCGAAGAGAGCGATGCAGTAATGGCTGCGGTCTGATCAACAAGTTGCTCTTTCACGACCCGCACGACGGAAATCATCCGTAAGTTTGCTTTTAAAGTGGCGCATCGTTTTACTATTCTCTTCAGCGTAATGGCGTTGGCGGCATGTTGCGTTTCGCGCACTTTTACCATTCCTTTCTTCTTGTTCTTTTCTTGCTCAGCTAATTTCTTCTCGTCTTTCTCTGCCAGTTGATGGCCGTCTATAGCGACGGTTTCATCGCACTGCCTTTGTCTTCTGATGGTCGCCTGACTTTGGTCTGTCTTCGCAATCTCAATTTTCCCCACTTCCCCTTCCCCTCTCTTTCTGACCAACTGACTTCGGCATGCGAACCTGCCGAATGATTCAACCTTTATTTTCATCTTCTCTTCTCTTCCCTTCTCTTCTATCCTTAACCCTTTCTGGATGCTCACCAGTACACACTTTTTCGGCTGCTCATCCAGCCACTCTTGGGATTTAATTCACTTCTTACCCTCTTTTGTGTATGTATTTTGAGCAAATAAGATTTATTAGCTTCGGCTTAGCGGAACCTATTCTTATCACAATCCCATTAAGACAAAGAAGAAGCAAGCGATTGGCCGGATGGCTTAACCCTGCCGTCTCAGGGTATTGGTGATGTAAGTGTGAAACTCGATATCGACTAATGTCGAACAACGCCATGTTCCGTCTAGACCATGACCATCAGCTGAGTCCAGGCCCCGCAACCACACAGAGCCAAACTGCGACGTCCAGAGTGGCTCGAGGGGGGTAGGTGTTCGCCCGGCTACAACTATCTTTGCAACAACGCCGAGCCATGCAATGTGGAGCTGATGCAGCCCATGACAGAGCGTCATGCATGGTCAAGACGAAGTCTGAAGGTTATGCAACGCCGGCAGGATGAATTACAGTACCCTGCAAGACGCTGTGTCAGACGGCTCTGTACACCTGTAGACATCGCAGAGCACCGTCAACTCAAGCACTACCTCTGCCCGGGTGTGGGAGACCAGCGTTCGATGATGAGCAAGCCAGAAGAATCGGCGTCAGACGTTGACAAGAGCCAATCATTGGAGACCCATCTATGTGTAGTAGAACTACTTCGTCATGGGTATATGTAAGTCGCCGGCTAGTCCGGTTTGCTAACTTGGTAGTGCACACGAGTAGTACACACCCTTTCACAAGCGTACTTGTCTTTGTTGTACGCTCATAGTGTGAAAGGGCAGCCCAATGCGTTAGCCAACGCCGCAATTTGCAATACCCCCTATCTTGTAGGACTCTTAGCAACAGGATGTGGAGTTTATACATAACCCCAGCTACTCATTCCGTCCGCCTGATGCTTGTTCCCTGCCTCCCCGCAGTAAGCGATGTATGTGACCGAAAGGACGCTTCCGCGAGAAATTCCGCCGGACCCGTCACCATGGAACTGCCGCCCACTTATTAGACTGACCGCATGACTTTCCCAAGATAACGAGCGGGAACTCATGCACGTTCACCCTTTAGAAAGGCCGAAGGGTTGAGCAAAAAAATAAAATAAAAAGACTAAAAAAAAGAGAAGCTGGAGGCGCATGGCTCCCCGAGTGCTATGTGCAGGTGGCTGCTATGATATATGGCCCGAACGAGATGCGGATACATGGACAAGTAAGCAACAGCAAGCATGTGAAGTGGCAAGGTGGCTCGTAGATGAAGCTTGTGCTAGCTAGGAAATGGAGCTCGGTGATCGTGATAGTCGTTGTGGACACCTGAGGGTGGGCCGACTGGGCTCTACTGCGGGGAGCAGCGGTTAGGCTCGAGTTGCCTGCCGACGTGGTTGGTCGTGGGGGAGCGACGACTGCACCCTCCATCCACATGGCTGTCCAAGCACTGCGGGGAAACGAGATGCACTAAGCCTGTTGCGGTCCTAGCGCAAAGACTATCTTGCGGGAAACGCAGCTAAGACGTGCACTGCTGCTCCGATATTACTCTCCTGTCTATCATTCCTGCTTTCCCTTCCCTCTCCGACCTCTTCGTCTTTGCCTATTGTTGTTAGTCTCCTGTCACGCTACTTTTGCTTCAGTTGCGATTCCCCGCCAGAGAGTGATTCGCTTATCACGCCATTAACCCCGCTGACGTACGACACTCCGAGGGGACCCTGTCTGTGCGCCTAGTGCCATATCAATCGTCCCACCCTCCTTGCCTTTCCTCTCTATACTCTTTGTTCTATTCTGCAAACCACCCACACCATTCCGCTCTGCTGTTACTAGACCACATACGCACGCACACATATACGTACACCATCACAAACTGATCAGCATCGCCCTCTCCAACAATGTCTTCTAACGACCGGAACTCCCCTCCCCTCCACTCTCCAGACCCTCGTCGACGGGCCTCAATCACCAGCCAGACATTCCACGACTTGTTTGGTCGGTCAAACAGCATTGCAGGCCTGCCATCTGGCGTACAGCAGTCCTCGGGTCCCATCACTACAGCTGCTGCCAACGCCCAGCGGCGAAGGCTCTCACTGACCACGATTGGTCTAGGGGCCTCGCCTGGCCAGACCTCGCCCTTCCTCCAAACCCCGCGGACCCGCACTGAGAGCATCTCTAGCGCCAACTCTGGTTCTGTCGACGAGAGTCCTTTTGAGGACGACTTCGGTCCTTCGGCCAGCAGCAACCCAGCAACACCATTTGCTCGGCGGCTGAGCTTCGGAGCTCGTGCAATGCGGGACGTCAGGCAGGGCAACGGAGGTGTTGGGAACCCAAATGGTAGACCACCCATCATCCACAAAGCTTCCTCTCCCCCGACTGGTCGAGGTCGAGGTCTGTCTTCATTGTCACAGTCATTGCCCTCATCCTCTTCACTGCTCCGCCCCTTTACCCATTCCCACTCACGGCGATCCACATCCGTTTCGTACATTTGGCCATCAACTATTGCGGAACATGCCGAGACTGTACTTGGAAACTACTCGCTAACGTCGTCTTCAACAGGCGAGGGCTACAATTTCGCTGAGAACCTCCGATCACGAGCCGAGCGGGGATCCATTTCCGGCCCCCCTTCGATGCTGGGCATGTCTGGCCCGACGCACCACCGTGCCAAGAGCGTTACAATCATGGAGCCTCCAGTTCGTGAAATGCCCAAGCCCAAGGTTCCCGATGCCATGCAGGAACGGATCCTCAAGGGTGACTTCTACATGGATTAGACTATGCACAATCGTTTGCCCTTCGATATCTCCGGTAGGTTTTCCGGTGTGATTCTAACAACTGCGCAGTGACTAACTTCTGCTGTCACTAGGACCATCTACTTGACAGATGAGACGTGAGAATGAATCCGCGACCTTGTACCACTACTCTTCCATCTGTGTAACCGAGTATCTTATGTCCCAAGATCCTACTCGCATCTAGCTTTCGCACCGCCCATCTTTCACGAGCGGTCAAAACGGTTCTAGCAATTGTTCTGAATTGATACAAAGAGGCCTGCAAAAACGCACACGCGGAGGAAACCCTAATTTGCTGGACCCCGGTCACGACATACTTTCGGCCGCTTCTTCACACATAAATATGTAGCGCCTGTTCGGTGCTTACAGTCGTTTGAACATTATTCATACTGTTGAGATGGCTAGGCTTAGCTGTCATGATTTTCATGCTTTCGTCTCAGGATGTTTATCCACCGGACCCATCTCCCACGAGTTATCTTCCTGGCGCACTGACTATTATTACGAAATTTTGCTTCATGTCTGTTTTCTTTCACATGCGTAGGGATGGGGCGTACGGCTTTTTGGGGAGATGGGAACCAGATTGTTAAGCTGACACAGTGTTGCATACATTGGTGCGGCAGGGATTCTGGAGTTGACATACATATCACGCATGGTAACAAAGGCATATGGCCCGGTATGGAGTATCATAGTATCTACAGAAATTGTGGAAATTATCGGGACAGTGTAGTACAGTTAAATTATCACATGAATTACAATTGGTATGACTGCGTGTGCAGATGGAGTGCCGTGCTGCGTATATGATCCAAAGTACGAGTGTACGTACATACCTAGGATCAGTGCAAAGGTGGTGTGCTGACACGCGTAATCAGTCCCCACTTTAATGTTTCACATAAGCTCATGATAGTGGTCACCCAGCGTGGGATGGTGGGTACATGTGTGGCGACACGTCGATCACGCTGGCCTTTTTTTAAGCAACATGTACGGACAGCGAAAAAAATGTAGGGGGTATACCATGGTTCACGTTCGTATGCACAAACAACCCCCTTCCCACATGACAGTAGGAGGTGAAAAACCAGGAAGAAAGATAACCTCCAAAATTGTAGTTTGGTCAATCAAAGTTGCTTACGTTGCGACTCCATACACATGCAAACTACATGAATTAAACACGGAGACATAGAAAGAGAAAAGAAAAAAAGAGATGAAAAACTGATAGGAAGATGCTCTCGTATCGTATCGTATCGTATCGTATCGTATCGTATTGGATCGTTTCCCTCTTTGCTCCTCCTCCTCTTCATCCTTTTCCCTTCACTCTCCTCTCCTGTTAAGAATCCCAATCCTTCAATGCAGTCATGGTATAGTACCCCTTTCCCTTTGCGCAGCCAAAACGAAAAGAAGGAATGACGCCAGTGAAATGCTTTGGACACACGACAGAAAAAAAACAACACGCTGGAAGACAGGAACCGCATTTTGATGCCGCTAAACCAGGGGGGAGAAACAAATGTTCAAATAAATCAAAAACAAAGCAGAGACGAAGAAGAGACGAAGAAGAGAAAAAAAGCACAATTGAAAAAAAAGAATTGTCTGAATCATATCTCATCTCATCTCGTTTCCATCTCATCCATTTATCCTTGAGAGAGTAAGTGCGTCTCCGTGAACCCCACCCCCCACCCCAACATGCCAAAAGAATGTGCAGTCTTTGCTGCCCGAACGCCGTTAGAGCAGAAGAAGAAAAATATCATGCTTTCTTTTCTTCTCCAACAATAAATTATGCCTTTCTAGATAAGAGGACCAGCCATCATGGGACTCATGTTCCTCGTGTTGGCAGTCAAAGTGGACTCGTATGGTGCCTGTGTGCCGTTCACAGAGCCCTGTCTAGGACGGTAGTAGCTGTTGGCGTATGTTGGTGCGGGACCCGTGTAGGTTCCTTGTGTCGGAGAATGAAGACCGGGAGAGGAGGGGTTGTGCAAGTTGCGGTTGCTCCGACGCCGGCCAAGCACCGGTGATGCGGAGCCGCCTTGTACCGTGCCCGTAGAATTGATCGATTCGTTGGAATTGCTCCTTATATGTTGTGCAGTTGTTGGCTGCTGCATCTGAGGCGAGCCAGCAGGATTGGTTGGACGCTGGAACCCTTGGGTAAATGGATTGGTGCGTGCAGGGGCACTGTTTTCACGCTGTCCGAGCGCCTGTCGTCTCGTCTCAATAAGTTCACGAGCTCGCATGTTGCGTTCGTCCTGTGACAATTGGGCTGGGCGAGCAGCAGGCTGACCAGGCGATTGTACATTCTGGGTTGGTGATGGAGGCGGCCGGCCATGCTCACTTGCACGCAGAGTACGCGTTGAGGCTTGAGCATTGATCTGACGTCTTGAAGGCTGAGGCCGGAGGTTGAGACGGGATGGCTGAGGTCTCGCGCTTTGTTGCTGCCCCCCGGTTTCTCGAACGTTGACACGAGAATTCACAGGCCGCAAAGTGGCGACAGAAGACTCATTTCGGAGAAGCTGGCGAGAATTGCGGTTCCGCACGCCACGTGCTTGTACGAACGCAGCCCAAGGGTTGCCTCGGGCGGCAAAGGGTGGCAAAGCTGCACCCTGAACGTGCAATCCCATACCAGCGTGAGGAAAGGCATTGACACCAGCAAAATTGCCAGAGTTTCTCCGGCTATTCGCTGAAGAGGGACGAGCACCAACACGGCTTTGCGGACGATCAATCATATCCATAGCCGCAGCAGCCTGTGTCTGTGCTATGCTATCGATAGAGTGTTGAGATGTGGGAGTGGACGAACCAGGAGTCATAGTAGAAGCATTGTTATTCGAGCTAAGAGAAGAAGCGCGATCAAACCGGCTCATATTACCGTTATGTGCCATTGCTGGAAATCCCGGAGACATGGCGCTTCTCCGAGGCGGCGACACTGGCATGCGAGGGTCCATAGCAAGGTTTGAAGTGTTGTCCATCAACGGTGTCCTCAGACGCGCAGGGGGCAGGAAAGGAGAGTATGCCTGTGCTGGGCTTGGTCGGTTCCTGTTCCTCGTACGGGGACGAGAAAGTGGGGTAATGGCTCGTGGCTCGACATCGATCAATGCACCTGCCATCTGATGCTGTTGGAGAGCCTGTTGATGCGCAGCAAACATCCAACTAATACGCGGATCGTACTCCCGGCGCTGTACACGAGGAGCTCCTCGTGCATGCCCTTGCGAGGTGTCCGAGTTGTCGTCAGTATCTGCCTCGTTTGTCCCATCAACCTGAGCAGCCCCACGATTAACGAAGCGGGCGGTGGGATTCGAGAAGGCCGCCCCGTTTCGCATGTGGGCTTGTGAGCGGCGTGTTCGCAATGTATTCATGGCCAGCTCTATGTCGCCATCTTGATCCGAGTCATCGTCGTCTGCTTCACCATCCTCGTAAGGGGCTGCTGAGCTAGGAGGAACAGATGGTCTTCGACGCAAGCCACGGGAGGCATTCAAAACACGAGTATTGCCGGTTCGTGAAGGGGGTCGGATCGGGGCACTAGGCCGAGGACGATCTGCAGTAGGTGTTAGAGAACCGCCCATTCGGCTTCTGTCATTTGAGTTCGCAAGCGGTTCCCACCCAACGGTCGTTCTTCCTCCATCACTGTCATCTTCATCTTCTTCCCCCATTTCATCGTCTTCATCCCGCTGCAGCATCCATCCCTCTTCTCTCAGTAAGGCTTGAGTGTCTTCATCAAGCTCCTCCTCATTCGAGACATCAGTGGCTACTGACGAAGCTCTATCATGAGAGGATCTTGAACCATTTGCTCGATGCAGAGCACGAGTCTGAGCCGAATTCCTCACTCCCCTGCGAATAGGCCCTGCATCTTCTTCGTCCTCGTCCTCTTCCTCTTCAACGACGCTTGAGCGGTTGGACGACGTTTCAGACTCGACTATGCGGCGTCTTCTGGCATTTGTTTGTGCTCTGCTACCAGAAGGTTGAGGCATGGGACCAGGTGTGGATGATGCGTCGCTTGGTGAGCTGGCTGCTTGGACGCCACTATCGTCGATGAAGTCGTTCATAGAAGAATCTTCATCTAGTCCTTCTTCGTCTTCCTCTTCGACTGTGTCCATCTCATCACCGTATATGTCTGAGATAATACTTTGGGTATAAGAGCGCCGACTGCCAGCTTCGCTGTGTGTGACTGGCCGGCGTCGAGCAAAGGCGGCCGCGTGAGGTGGTATTCCAGCCTCCAGGAAACGGCGCATCATTACTGAGTCGTCAGGAGGGTATGCCCCCCAGTCTCCCATACCGTCGTCGTAGTCGTCATATTCACCATTCTCAAAGTCCATCTCGCCGTCGATGTCTGTGTCGTGCTCTGACATCTCGTCCATGTCGCTGAAACCTGTGAAGCTGTCGCCCCATGAGACTTCGCCCGTCTCGTCAAACACCAGTCCACATTGAGTGCAGCCACCATCTTCCAGTTCCCAGGTGCAGACCGGACAGCGGTCAACACCGTCTTCTTGATCACGGACGACTTGCAGCGACGGGCCTCGTTGGTGGTGGGCGAGCCTGAAGCAGCCCTTGAAGAGACCTCCAGTGCGGGGGTCCTCGTTGTCCTTGTCCTGCTGCACAGCGTCGGCCTCGTCGCTCTGCCACTTTTTGTGTTCTTCGAGGCTCTCGCCTAGTGGGAGCAGCTCGGCACGGGATATAAAGAGGTTTGTCATGTCCCGTATCTGGAGTGCATTGTTAGCGAGGGCGCACCGTGTGCATGCATGGCTGGACTTGACTCACCACATAGGCGGGGGCGGGCAGGTCCTTGACGACGATGCGGCAGTCGGGACATGTCTTGCGGGCCTTGTTGCTGACGAACCAGGTGCAGAGACACTGTGCAGGTTAGCAATGGGCGGCCACAGAGGAGCGAGGGCTCTGCTTACTGTGTAGCAGTACGTGTGCCCGCACGATATGGTGAAGGGCTGGTAGAGCAGGCGGTCGCAGATCTTGCAGGTGAGGTGGTTGCGGAGGCCGTCAAACTCGGACTTGAGGGCCTTGAGTTGCTGTGGCGGGCGTTAGTACAGACGGTCGTGGGGTGCGGTTTGTGGGCAGAGCCGCGCACCTCTTCTGCTCTGCTCGGCTGGGGCGCCTCGTCCTTCTTCATCAGCATCTTCTGCTTGAGGCTGTCCTTGCTGGCGGCGCGTGTGGGCCGGTCGGTGTCGGCGAGCTTCGAGGCAGAGCGACTGGCGGTCGGAGTGCCACCGCGCCCAGCCCGTGAAGTCGAGGACATGGCGGCCGACTGTGAGGGTGTGGCGGTATGTGAAGGTGTGGTGGCCGACGTGATGGACGACGACGAATTCTTGGGGCGAGCGGTGGGCGGGGTCGGCGACGCTCGATTGTCCATGGCGGCGGGCGATGGGTCTCTCTTTTCACGGACTTGGGCAGCCGGGAGATGCTAAGATGGAGCATCTGCTCACATGGGACTTTTGCCCTTGTAGAGAAGGACTAGGAAGTATGGCTGGCAGTGGTTATGCATGCAAGTGCGGGCCTGCTAGTCGAGGTATGCTGGCGCTCGGTCACCTCTGCCCTTGCTCCCCGTCCATTTGCCGCAGCAGCCGTTCACTTCCACCCTCACCTCGTTCCGTCTTTAGCGCCAGCCCCGAATCCCCGTCGTCAACCACCACCAACCATTTCCTCGAGCTATATCAATTCCATACCATGGCATTATCCTATTGGGCCGCCCCAGCCTGTGACGGGTCCTCAACACCAATGACGTGGGCACGCGACTCGTAACGTTGCCCTCGCCAGCGTCCCGTTTTGGCCCCGACCAAAGAACAAAAGAGTTATCAACAGAGCGCCGAGGGCGTGCGACCGTTGTCGAATGGGACTGCCCCTTGGCCTGGAGCCCCGTTTCTTTCCACCCATGGCTGCGAGGAGCGCGAGCGTTGCACTTGCTATTTGCTTCGGCCTCACTATTTTATCCTACAGCGCACCTCACAGCCAAACCCTGCATAAATCTGCAATTCGCTACTGTCTGCACTACTCAAACATCACCCTCATCCATAGTGCCTGTTGGACCCCACTCTCTTCTCTGATCAACAAATACAGAGGACACTGCAAGGCAACCTACAGTACTTTGCCGGACCGTGATCGATGAGAATCGAGTGGCCGTGACTTGCCCTCGATTTGCAACTTGCAGTCACAAGTTTTGATCTGCAAGGTTGATCCTGCGACGAGTCAAGGCCGAGCTATCTTGTTGAGACATGCCTACTCTACGGTAAGTAAATGGACAAAACATAGTTGCTTTTTTTCTGAGCAAACTCCAAACAAAGTAGACAGTGTTAGTGTTGGATATACAGTCTTTTATGTATAACTTCTGTTGAATGCCGAGCTTCAGATCGCCATTCGTCATCATACGAAGAGGCGCACAGTCCTCAGCCCAAGATGATCAGAGCCAGCCCATGCTAGCCATATTTCCCACGAAATACCAGGCATCCGCTTGGACCAAACCCTTGCGTTACTGTGGACAAGAGACTTGGCGACTATAACCACAATCTCTATCTCTCTATCATATTTCACCGCTTGCCTAACGCTGTGATAAAAGTGCTGCCTGGGTTTTATCTGTTACCTCCAAAATTGGCGTACAAGTGATAACTCAGAGTACACAGCACTAACGACTGACTAAACACATTAGAGAAGAAGAAGTTAACAGAAGTCATTGAATTAAGATGCTTTGACGCTCGGATTGGGTCCCGCTGTGTGACAGGGTAGTGCCCGTTGTCGTGCATGCACATGGGGTAGACCGTCTTATCGATAACATACCTCCGCAGCCTCATTCCCAATGGCCGCCATCCGACTTTGTCTCCGCGCCATTCATCCCAACACGTATAAGCGACTCTGCACCTGATTGACTTTGGACATCCGGAATTGCGCAGATCCAAGATAATCTCAAGATGTCAGAGAAACCCACACCCTCGAAAGCGAATGAATGGTCCGGCGACAAAGCCACCAAGTTCGACAAGTACGCCACCCTATTGATCGAGCTGCAGCCACATTGTGGGGAAGAAGAACAAGCGACTGACATATTCCTATAACAGCAAAGCATTCAGCGAGTATTACGATCCATGTCAGGAGGCGGCGGATAGAAGCATACGGTGTTTGAAGAGGAATGGCGGAGAGAGGGCTATGTGCTCGGACTTTTTCCAGTGAGTTAGAATATTTTATTAAAAAAACCCGAGAAACCCTGAGGCTTGGGATATGGCTGTATTAGTTGCAATTGATGGAAACTGATGCTGACGCGTATATGAACAGAGCATATCGGGATTGTAAAGAGCAATGGGTACGTTACCTCCGTCGACTGCGCACCACATACACTACTACGACCGTCCCTCCACAATTCGTATCGGTATTGACAAACAGTTGCTAATATTTCTATAGCAAGCTGCAAGGAAAGAAGCTAGAAAGAACAAGTCATGGTTTGGATGAACTGAGGACACTGGAAATTCGAATGTGAATAGCTGTACAACATCTCCTCTCCGCATAGGTACGGCGTTTGGGCACGGTATTTTCATGGTAAAAATGGTTTATCATAGTCCATAGCTTGGTTAGCTAGTATGGGTATTTAAACTGGTAGCTCAATGGTCTGCGAGACAGCCAGACGCTACCAGTCTGCACTAGTCAACAACGAAGGGCAGACTGGCAGTCAATGTATGCTAAAAAAAGTGACTTTTTGTGATTGGAGTTACAGGTTGTATACTACTACATCCATCCAGGAGCTTGTGTTGATTAAGCACATGGCACCGAGGCAGCCGCTGCTCCTTGATGAGGTCAGCTATCTAGAATCCCTTCACTTGGTCACGATCACGCCATCATCCGTACATGCAGCTTATCCACCTGAAGCCCTCGAAAAGGCAAAGACGTGCCCGATCAATTGGTCATACGCGTCGTACTTGCCCTTGCATGATGCACGAGGCTGTGCACTGACGATCTCTCTACCCCACCCCACCACCCCACTAAAGCTACCCCTCCATTGTACCCTCTTTGCTCACTTCTACCAACCATCTTTCCTCCACCTCTCCTCTCGCTCCACTTATGAGATCTGTCTTCAACCTTTCTTCCTTTAACCGTCTCACCACTCGAGCTTTCACCTCAACCGCACGCGCAATGGGTGTCCAGAAGACCATCATCCAAGAGGGCAACGGCCCATCCCCTAAGCAGGGCGACACTGTTACCATGGAGTACACGGGTTGGCTAAAGGACGCCAGCACCGACAAGGGCAAACAATTTGACAGCACAACTGGCCGCGGTCCGTTCCAGACCCAGATCGGTGTCGGTCGTGTCATCAAAGGCTGGGATGAGGGTGTTGTGCAAATGAAGCTTGGCGAGAAGGCCAGGTTGGACATCACCAGCGACTTTGCTTACGGAAGCCAGTGAGTGCTCTCTATGTGAAAAACTGTACACCGACGTATGCTGACGTATGCATAGGGAATTCCCTGGTCTGATCCCTCCCAACTCTGACCTTATCTTGTAAGCCATTGCTCTTATACGCATATACTTGGTGCAAGGTACTAACCTTTTTACAGCGAGGTCGAGCTTAAGAAGATCAACTAAGTCTCGGACAAAGAATAAAGATGATGGGAGGCGAACGCGGTAGTCATATCAGGCTGCAAGGAGATGGCCTATGGAGCAGTGGAAGCTATGTTGTAATCGAGAATCAAATCTTGAGCAGCAGGTTCGTCGCTGCGGCATCATGACTCCATAGTCTTCTCTCTAAAATCAATCACCATCCTTTTCAGCGAACAAGTTGTTGTTTTGTCCCATGCATGGCTGTGTCCAATACCTTCAAACATGCTTCTCTCTGAAGACTCAATGTCTTCAATGAGCTTTGTGATTTGTATAATGGTCTACTCATCTAAATGCTGTAGAAGTATGATGGGGTTTGGTAAGGATTAATTGGCTATCTTGCTTATCCTTTCAAATCTGCAGTAGCCACCAGGAGGCAGAAGCGCTGGCTACAATATGCAAACAGAAGAGAGTGCGATATGCGGTGATGAAACATATGCCTCATTGTAGTTTATTGGGACTTGTCCAAGGAGGTACAGGTTTGAATCAGAGCGAGGAGGTGCTGGCCGCCAGCAAAGACCTGCGATCCTAAGTAGCCCGAATAGCTCCGGACAATACCATAGAACAGGCGCAATTGCGCAAAGGGTCTTACTACGTACACATCACTTATTGTGGCGCAATCCCATACTTTTAATGGACCAGTTTGGCCAACGCTCGTCATGCACACTCCAACCCCGCTCCATTGCAAGCCCCACCACAAGGCATTGGGCAATGCATGCAGTGACATCACGACTAATGAGATGAAAGATGCTTTGTGCGGCGCTTAGAGCTGCATGGGAAGTATGCTCCTATCACCTCGAATCTTCGGCTCTCTGCGCATTGCCTTCCGTAACCCCCGCAATTGCCCATCAGTGACAACATTGTTGAAGCATTCCTCTACCTTTGCTACCCCGCTACCCACCATGTCGGCAAGTACACTCAGTATCAATTCGACTTTTGACCTGCCAAATTCGCAGTACAAAATTCCAAAAATCGGGTTTGGTGTCTACCTGTCCCCCAAGGACGTATGCGTCAAGTCTTGCAAGAAAGCCTTTGAGGCAGGCTATCGACACATCGACACGGCGCAGTACTATGCCAACGAAGAGCAGGTTGGGCAGGCATTGGCTGAAAGCGGGCTTCCTCGCGAGGATGTGTACATCACGTCCAAAATCATGACTGCTGGCGAAGATGTCGAGTCAACATACAAAATGGTTGTCGAAAGTGTTGAGAAGCTTGCTGGGAAAGATGGCTATGCGGATCTTTTCCTCATCCACACCCCGAATGGAGGCAAAGAGGCAAGGAAGACCATGTGGTTGGCATTGAAGAAGGCCAAGGAGGCGGGAAAAGTACGAGACATTGGGGTCAGCAACTACGGCATTGGGCACATTGATGAGATTGCGACCATTGACAGCAAGGATGCTCTCCCTGCTGTAAACCAGATCGAGGTTTGTCTTTTTCACCCCATTCAAGACTACCCATATACCTAACCCACTACACCAGCTCCACCCTTGGTGCCAGCAACGTGAAGTCGTCGACTACTGCAAAAAACGCAACATTGTAGTCGAAGCCTACTGCCCCATTGTCCGCAACGAAAAGGCAAACGACGCAACGCTCGCCGCTATCGCTAAGAAACACAACAAGGAACCCAACCAAATTCTCATTCGATGGAGTCTGCAAAAGGGATTCGTACCGCTGCCCAAGAGTGACAATCCGTCGAGGATTGTCGGCAACGCTGACATTTACGACTTTGAGCTCGACAAGGATGACATGGCTACGCTGGATGGGCTCGATCAAGGCGCAGAGGGCGCAATTGTCCAGGCCGTTAGCAATTCTTAGAAGTAAAACAAACAAAAAAGACAAGTTCTACAGAATAGAGGGCAGTTTTGAAGTTTGCATCAACGCTCTATACAAAATGATGAGCCTTTGATTTCCAAGACCTTTTTGTTTCGGCACGCTGATCAAGCTGGTCCGTTTATTATTTTTTTCCGAACGTTACGCGGGCTGGTACTAGATGCTACTAGCTTTGTTTCTTAAAACGTAGATTCAAACACCGCACTATGAGGAGATTTTTTTCTTTTAGCTATGGTGATGGTGGTGGTGGTGGTGGGATCCTGAACGAAAATGTGCTTTTTGAGCGTTTACAAACCAGGGAATGTTCGGGACAGACAAGGCTTTTGAAGCAAGACACACGCGGGTATGTTCTCGCAGTTGCCCCCTCCCTCTCCCACCAGCCCACTTGTGTGTATGTGCGTTCTGGTCAACCCCCACCCGCTTTGATCTGCATGAAAACATTTTGGTTGAGGTTTGACGACGTATATGGTTCACTGGTTGTCTCACGTCACGTCGTGATGTATGTAGCCGACCTTCAGGTCGCTTTCCTCTCTACCAATGTGAGATATTTTCAGCGCAATATATATTTTATATTTTTGCAAAATGCCATCGGTTTTGTAGTGTAGCGGTTATCACTCCGGATTCTGATTCAGGCGTCAGAGTCTTCCGGCAACCCCGGTTCGATTCCGGGCAAGACCTCACAGTCTTATTTTTTTCAATATTTTTGCACTTATCTATCATCCTCTCTCAATATCCTATCGTATACGTCATCCACCGGGGACAGAAAGTCAAAAATATTTCTTTTAATGAGTTTCAATTTTTTTGTAGTAGCGTTTTTGCCGTTGTAACACGGCTTGATACGGTAGAGTTACGGATTACTATATAAGCCCCTGTATCTAAGTGAAAGCGTACATGAGAAGAGAAGGTAAAAAGGAGGTTCGCAAGGCTGCGCAAGTGCCTGGATGAAGAGGGCGACATGCCGCCTGGTACCACAGAGGAGCACCGCAAAACACGAGAAGGAAAGAGAAAGTGGGTGTAAGTAAATGTAAGGCGCCATGTCGCTAAACGCAGAGGAAAAAAAGGGGGAGAAGACGGCTGTGTCAAAAGAAAAGACAGTAAAGAAAAAGTAAAAATGCACCAGGGGGTTATTACATCTATCAACAAAAGAACTTGTAGACCTTCTTCCACCTGGGCCACTTCTTCTTTTCTTCACGCTCTTCCTCGATCAGAGCCTGGATATTGAGTTCCCTGATACCCGTTACGAGATCCATATTGTGGGAGCGAACGATCGAAGTGCGGAACCAGAACTTGTAGGGGAAGTAAAAGGCCAGTGTGACGGGGAGCGCGAGGTAGACGCTGAAGAAGCGTTGGAGGCGCTGGGAGGTAGACAGAACACCCATGTCGATGGGGGCGATGGAGACGTAGAACTGGGCGATGAGGACGAGTATGTTGAGGCCGAAGCCGATGTAAGAGCCGATGAGGCCGGGTTGCGAGCGGAAGGCGAGTTCGCTGAGGCTGTGGCCTTGGACTTTCCAGCCCTTGCGGAAGCGAATGTGTGCGAGGCAGATGGAGGCCCATGTGAAGACGGCGGAGAGGGCGGAGAGGGCGAGGAGCCAGTTGAAGGCTGCGTCTTGGAGGCTGCGCTCTGCTCCGGCGAGGAAGGCGAGGAGGCCAAGGGCAGAGGCAAAGGCGATGGAGACGAGAGGGCGGCCTTGGCGATCGATGTACGCGAAGATTCTAGGGGCTTGGTTCTGTTCAGCCAGCGCTGCGAGTGTGCGCGAGGAGCCGTAAATGGACGAGTTGCCGACGGAGAGGACGGCAATCATGATGACAGCGTTGAAGACGGATGGCAAGCCTTCGATACCGGCATTCTGGATGGCAATGACAAAGGGGGAGGCGACGGCGTCGACGTTGTTCTTGTCCTGGAGGAGGCGTGGGTTGTTGTATGGCACGAGCAAACCGACAACAGTGAGGGAGACAATGTAGAAGAGGGAGATTCGCCAAAAGACTTGCTTGACGGCCGTGGGAAGCGACTTGCGTGGATTGGCTGTTTCAGCAGCAGCAAGACCGACGAGTTCAGTACCGGAAAAAGCAAAGGCGGCGTTGACGAAGACGCTGCAGAGACCTTTGAAGCCGTTGTTGAAGGGTCCTGGGTCGCGCCAGTACTTTCCTCCAATGTAACCGCCGTCTGGACCGCCGCCAATGTTGATGATGATTCCGAGGATGATAAAGCCAATCACTGCGGTGATTTTGACGATAGCAAAGACAAACTCAGCCTCTCCGTATCCCTTGATACCAAATAGATTGATGGCGACGATCAGGACTAAGAAGATGGCAACCCACGCATTGTTGTTGACCGCATCGCCGTTCCAATACTCAATAGTGAAGGTGGCAGCGACAATCTCGAGCGGGAGCACAACGAGCCATTGCAGAGCGTAGTTCCAACCCATGGCAAAGCCCCAGGCGGGATCCAGGAAGCGTGTCGAGTATGCGGAGAAGGAACCAGCAACCGGAAAGAGGACGGCCATTTCGCCCAGTGCGTGGACGGTGGTGTAGAGCATGACACCGACGAGACAGTAGCATATGACGAGCGACGCTGGACCACCATTTGCCAGTGCCTGACCAGAGCCGACAAACAGACCGGTACCTTTTTGGCAAGTTTGTAATTAGCGGACGGACGAGGTGGTTTGACCGGGGGAAAGAAGGCATGCTTACCAATGGAACCTCCAATGGCTATCATCTGCAAGTGGCGGCCTTTGAGCCTCCGAGCAAGTGGCGAGTTTGCAGTATTGGTTGCAGCAGCCTCGGGGTCAAACATGTTGCTGTCAGCGCCGACGGTTGTCTTTGGCGTCATGGTCATGGCGAAGTTGGGATCCCGCTTGAAGCTGTCGAGCACGCGGCGGCCGAGGCCTTGATTGTAGCGAGAGGACTCGCCATAGTAGTCGGATCCCTGCGAGGCTCTCCCAAAGCTCTTTTCGGTCCCGTACATGTCGTCGTCCATGGTCATCGGGGTCGGGCAAGGCAGCAGGGCGCCGGACAGGACGGCACTGCACAGGGCAGCCAGACACGCGACACAAGGCAGAACAGAACAGGCAGCGCAAAAGAGGGACGGGTGCGAGGCGATTCTGCACGCTGGTCGGAGTCGGTGCAAGGTGCGGAGACTGAGATGGACTGATTGCTTTTTTTCTGCCCCGGGCGAGCGGGCGCAGGGACCGGGTTATTACTTATGAGTGCAGGCAATGGTGCTGCTGACGGGCAAGGCGGTTTTGAGCGTATCGGTCACTAACTGGATATGTCGGCAGAAGGAGTGTACATGGCACACTAGACATGTCAGTCCGGGGCCAAGGGTCAAGGATGGTCGAGGCAGGCCCGGATTGCTGGGAAGGGCTGGATATGGATAGACCAGGTAGTGGGGGTTGGCATGCTATCCCGGCCTCGACACCATCCATTCATGCAAGTGGGCCGGGGGAGGGCAATTCACATGGTCGCGCATCGCCGCCTGTAAGTACTGTGTCCGTACTGTATGGATGGATGTAAGCATGATGGACGTGCATCCCGTCCACATACGATGGCATCACATCCAACCTCGCACTCTCTGCTTGTCTGGATGCTGCAGCCATCTATCTGGCAGCTGTTTAGCCTTGGGCGAGCCAGCCGTGCTTGGCTTCATCGCCTCCACTACCCTCCAGCCGTTCGAGCGGATGGCGCCAAAAACAGCCAATCTCGGCCCCCTGGCTGGATTCTCTCATTGCTCCAGATTTGCGGCTCGCGTGGCCGCTGGCGCTACCAGACGGCCTCGGTGTCTGTGTCCATGCTACCGGTCGCCCTTATCGCCATGTGCTCGTGGCACGGCCGAGTCAAGGCTGGGTGGGCAGTGGCTTGCCCCTCACCTCCCCTCGCAACCCACACCCACACCCACACCCGCACCCGCACCAGCTGATGTGTATGCATCGAATCCCACCGTCTATCGCAACAACGGCATCCCTCGAGCTTTCCAGAACCCGTCCCCTCCGCTTCACCATGGATGCATGCATGCTCCTTTGCAGCGCCTCGCAGTGGGACGGCTAAAATCACACTGCGTCTTACGCACTCGGCCGTGGCCCTTGACAGCCGCCATCACATGCAGGTACAGTCCACAATTCGTCAGTAGCTGCTCCATCCCTCTCCCGCTTCGTAAAACCATGCTCGGTCTGTCCAACACCACGCCACAATAAAACGCGCCTCGCCTTACCCAAGCATACACGCTCCCAATGCCCCCGACAACGGCCCGTCTCCAACAACCACCAACACCCTCCTTGGTGCCAGCCCCGCGCAACCTCGTCTGCAATCAAACACGACTTCGCTCCTCTCAACCCAGAACAGCACACTCACTCACACCAAGGCCAACCGTGATTTCCATCCTTTGGCCCCAAGCACTAATTGTCTCACCATCCACCACGGGCCTAGCCACCATCTCTTTCGTCTCTGCCATTTCGCTTACAGAAACAAGAACACGAGTGACAGTCATCAGTCTTGCCATTGCTATCGCAATGCCCGTGTACGGGACGTTGCTCGGCAGACACGGCATGAATCAGACGCCAACTAGTTTAGGCATGCCTTCCCGTGCTGGTTAGGTCAGTGGCGCGCCCAATTGATAAGGCCAGCCACCGCCTTCCGGCCCTCCACGCATTCCCATCATAACCGTACTGCGGCCCAAATAGCTAATGCCATTACGTGCCTCTGCAACCCGGACAAAAACAGTCTCCTGCACATGTGAGAAACTTCGTTCGTATACAATGCGTAACTCCTCTTGTTCCCACCTCCCCTGACCAAGTTCGCCCCGAAAATGATCGACAGATTACCCTTTTGCATGTAACTTCGGCAGCCGCCGCCTTTCAAAGGGCAAAATCCCCCCCCCCAGAGCCAATTGTGCTTATGCACTGCGCATGCAGGTTCCAAGTCGCCGTTCTCTGACGCAAGTGGCGAGATCAGCGGCTCACCACTTGTCTACGTACTTTTAGCAATCGCCAATAACGCGTCTTTGCCCGACTCATTAAACTCTACTTCTCTGTTTGAACAAATAAGTAGATAGGCCAAATACATATACATACATGTACACATTTATTATTCATCTCCATAATATGTTCCTTTTCCCCGCCCACCCCTGTGGTTCTTATGTCGATCCTTACTTCCTTCCTTCCTTCCTACAACGTTCCCCTTGCGCGATAATTGTGTCTCCCAGGTTCCAGGAACGATATAGAGACGACGGAGAACCAAAAAAAAAAAAAGAGGCGCGTGCACGCGCACTAACATTGCACCGTTTTTTCCCTCTCTCTCTCTCTCTTTTTTGCTTTTTACCCGAAAGCCCGTTTTTTTGGGGGGGGGTGTGGTTAGTAATGGCTATTAGGCAAACGTGATTGATTAGTTTTCCGTTTTTTTTAGCGTCCCTAAATCGTTTCCTACTAACTTTACATATACCTTTGTTTTTTTTTGAGGGGGAACCTTTCCAACTAAAAAGTGAAAACTATGTGGTCAGGTATCGTGATGCTTGTTTTAGCTACGAGGTAGTCACATGTCAGACTTTCCCGTGTTTCTTCTTCTTCTTCTTCTTCTTCTTCGTCATTACTCATTTCTCCTGCATATTGTTGCATGTATAATTATCACGCCGCATACACACTACACATTGCGAAACCCCCACCCCCACCACCCACCTAACCCCCTGGTCCAGTCACGATACATGGTTCGGTAACATGTGCTTGCTTATATCACTGAGCCAAAAAAAGCAAATCTGTTCACTTTTATCCTGGGGACCTTTTTTGATGTCTACTTGCCATGATTTCCCCTTTTATTACTTCACCCCTGATGGTGTTTTTTTTTTGGGCAGGGGGGGTTCAATAGGAATGGGATGCTGTTGTACAACCGTAACACAAAAAAATCTATTGATTACTATCGATGCAGCATTTTCCTCTTTCAAAAAAAGGGGGATACGTGATGAACTTCCGGGTCTTACAAAACCCCCTCTGACTTTACCACTTCATTTCTTTGCTTGCGTACCCCCCTGGTGTGTGTATATATATGTGTGTGTGACAAAGTTGGAGACTGTGTTGGAGTAAGTAAGCCCATGATGGCCAATGGTACCTTTGATGTATCCGTCCCGCGAGATTGGGTTCGGCAGGTTCCGGGTATTACTTATGTCGGCGAGTTAACGTGTCAGCACTATGCTTGTCGATCTCCATGATAACATTCGTTTACGAGGAGAGACGAGAGAGTGAAAAGTACCAAACTATCAATTTTTCTGCGCAGATTAAAGAGAAAAAAAAGGGGGGAACCTATAGACGCCAAAGGGTATGCTTGTATGAGTGTGACGATGCCAATGCAAAACGAGAGAGAAAGAGAAAGGAAAGAAGATGGCTTACTACATTGGTACAAAACACCCAAGGGATATAAGAAGAGTAAATAAAGGAAAGAAAGACATATGTGGGGATGGGGGAATGATGCCATGATGAGTATAGAGAAAGGAAAAGGGTAGAGAAGTAAAGAAGAAAAAAACCAACATCTACAACAAGCCCACAATCGAACAATTGTCTAACCCGATCAACTCACACACACAGGCAAGAAAGGAAGAAGACGAAGAAAAAAAAACCCCCTCCAGCAACAAGGACAACTTTTACCTTCAAATCACCCCACTTCAAGCACCCCCAACCTTCTCTTTCTCCTCCTCTTTGTCCTTCTTCTCCTTCTTCTCCTCCTCCACCTCCACCTCCTCTTTCTCCTTCGTTGGGAGCGTGAGAGGTGGTCCCAAAACCTCCTCTACAAACTCGCCCTCACCTAAGCGACCCCCAAACGTTTCCACCTCCTCTATCTCCTCTTCTTCTTCCTCATCTTCCTCGGTAATACCCAGGATCTCTCCGCTGCGTCTACCCTGTGAACTCGTGCCACGGCTTCCCGAGCCCCCTTCGCCGCTTCTGCTGCGCCACCCGCCACCTCCTGAGCTGCCGTTGCCAACGCCCGTGTTAACGTTGAGCATGGGGCCTTTGAAAACGCTGCGTTTGCGCTTGGCGAAAACGAGGCCAGGAGATTGGGGTGGCATTGCGTGGCCGTTTCCAAATGCGGCGCTAGATTCGCTGAGACCGGGTGGGTATCCGGAGCGGACGACGCGGATGTTCGAGGGGAAAGAGGACGATGTAGGTGTGGCGGGCAGGACTTTGATGCTGTTGTGGGGCGATTTGGAGGGCTTGTGTGAGTGACCGGATGTGGAGACAGCGGGAGAGGCGAGTGAGGCCGAGGAGGTTGACGAGGCTTTGCTGTGCGAGTGGTGGTGGTGTGGCATGCTGCGGATCGAAGATACAGATGACGACGTAGACTTGCGCCCTCGGAGACCACCGGACGACCGGCGGTATGATGACCGTGGTGTCAATGGAGCTGGAGATGCTGATAGTCGTCTGACCGAGCCTGAGCCGTGTGTTGAGGTCCGCGGTCTCGCAGAAGCCGCTGCCATTGGCGGTGACTTTGGGTTCGTGTAAACAGACGACCGGTTGGCTGTGTTAAGCCTTCGTCTTCCCCCGTCTGGAGACCTATTTTCAGGCAATTTCGGTGACTGCACACTGCTAGCTTTCGAGTTTGGTGACCGTGCCCGCTTCGATGTCTCTTTTATCCAATTCCGGAGGGATAGCAGGTGGCCAATGATGGGCTGCTTCCGACGCGGTTTGGGTACAAATCCGTTTGGTGAAAGGAGATCGGGATTGGAGACAACCTGTAGCATGCTACTACGTGATCTGCGTCTATCAATATCTTTCGCAGGAAGTGGTGGCCGTGACGCAGAGTGGGATTTGCGTCCTCGGGGAGGGTCAATTGGAGGAAGGGGCTTGTCGTCAATTGTGAGATTGGGAGACGTGAGCGATTCCGGGAGACGCGGTAATTCTGGAGCACCTTGTCAAAGTTAGCATGATTTCCTGATTCAAAGAATTACTTGGCCCACCATGTAAACTGCTGCGGTTCGCCGTTCTACCGCGACTTTTTGGTGTCTGGGGTGGGTGGTACCCTTCTTCGTCCGTTTCCCTAATGGTAGGCGCAAGCTTGTCGAGGCGACTGCTTGCAGCACTCAACCGCCGAAGACTCTTCGCCTCTGCCTCCCTTTCTTTTCGTTTCCGCTCTCGCCTCCTGGCTTTTCGTTCTTCCTTCTCGAGCAACAATGCCCACCAACCGGCCAAAGAGTCACATCTTTGTGCCAATACATTCTCAATCACCATGTCAATGTCGACTCCGGCAGCACGCATCCGCTGCAAAACCTCCTTCTCCAAGTCTGTGGAAAAGGGAGCCGGCTGTTGTAGCTTTAGCGTCTCCTGCTGGCGCGGCGCGTGTTCCGACAACCAAGGGTTTTGGAGTATGTCGGCTAAGGTAGGACGCAGAATCGGCCGTTTCGAAAGCAACGACTGGCACAACTCCTTTGCCTGCGGAGGAAAGGAGTCTGGAAATTTCGGTTCCTCTTTCAAGATTCTTGTCTTGGTAACCATCTCATCGTCGTCGTCAAAAGGCAGCTCGCCCACCAACAGTGCATAGAGAATGATGCCCAAACTCCAAACATCTACTTTTTCACCAGCATACTTTTCGCCCTTGAGCATTTCCGGAGCGCTGTAGCATATTGTTCCGCACCATGTCTGCAGACAGTTGGACTTGCCCTCGTACTCGCGGGTGAATCCAAAGTCGACCAGCTTGACATCGCCATGTTTATCTAGGAGGATATTCTCGAGCTTTAGATCGCGGTGGACGCACGACTTGTTGTGGACATAGGTGACGGCGCCGACGAGCTGAGTGAAGATGCGCTGGACTTTGGCGGGCTCGAGAGCGCCCTTGGCCAAGAGGTAGTTGTATAGTTCATCGCCAGGACAGTATTCGAGCGCCAGCCAGACCATCTGCTCCGTGACTATGACCTCGTACAGACGAGCAATGTGGGGGTGTATGAATTGGCGATGGTGGTGGATTTCGCGCGCGAGGTTGGCATCGTCCTTTCTCGCGCTCTTGAGCACGACCTGTGTGGTGGTCAGCGTTGTGGTGTCGAGGTTGCGACCATGCTCCGACGACGCACTCTGGAGCCATTGCTGAGCTTGTGTGAGGCCAAGTAGACTTTTCCAAAGCTGCCCTTGCCTATCAGTCTGCCGACGGTATAATTGCCGACGGTCTTGAGGTCGGTTGTTGCGAATTCACTGTTGGGGGTGTCAGGACACGGGTGGATGTGAAGGACGCGCCGGGAGCGCGCGCATGGTGTGGCAACGAAGGCTTACTCGAGTAGCTGTTTGTATGAGTTTGCAAGCTGCTGTTCACGAGGAGTCAGTGACGGTAAGTCTCTCCATCTCTTTGGCTCTTTAAGGCTCTCATCTCCATGGCCCAATTTGCGCCCGTGGGATTTGCTTGTTGCGGGCGCACAGGCGTTTGGCTGGGGCGGCAAGGGACGGATGAGAGCAAGACGAGGACCAGACATACCTTCTTCCTCTGGGCCTGAATCTCAGCCTGGGCTCTGAGATTTGACTGCATGGAATGATGCGCCGCTGCTCCGTGGAATCGATTGCGCAACCAGCGTCATCTATGGACAGGCAGGAGTGTGGTCTGGCGAGCGCGCGCCGCGGACGGGGACGAG